CAACTAATCTGACAAAAATCTGCTTTGATGACATTTCTGGTTTTTGTATTAACCCAACTGATATAGCTTGATATACTCTGTTGTTGATTTTCGTCATATTAAGATGTAAACATATTTTATATTGATGAAACTGATATAGATCAAGATATACGAGGGGTGATCAAAAAGTTCGCGATATTATATTGGCCATACACTTTTAAGTTCTAAACATGAATAAAGTTTTGCTTCTTGTTCGTGATCATGTATATTTCAATGTTTTGTCTTAACAAACGACTGTAGAAATTTATTGTATATTTTAGAAATACCTTTGAAGTAGCATATAATAATTTGTACACAGTTTATTAGGACAAATGACTTCCTAAAAATTAATCAATGATTGGATTGATCGTTTTAGTGATGGAAGGCAAATGTTTAAAAATAATGGTTGTTATATTGTTGCCCAGTGAAAGCAAGTTTGAAAAGAGATGTGTTTCTAATGATCAAACACCTCCAATTTACTGCTTCGAAAAATATGAATATTTCAATACTTTAGATTTTAAATATATTAGACATGATAAAAAGGAGGCACCCAAACTCTATCCACCTTGAATATACGTCTCTCCCGATACAGAAGATTTGGGTTTTGATGGTCGCCATGCTTATTTTTGGTAAGGATATTCTTAGCCACCCATTCTGTTGCCGAGATTTTACTATTTTTGACAAATTAAATGTTCTTGTTATAAAAATAAACTTACATGGAAAGAAATCTCATAATTAAATCTTTCATTTTGTGAAGAACGCTGTATATCACGTGATTTGCGCATGAGCAGAACAATGGCTGATGTGCATTAAAATCGGAGGGACTATTTCAACAATGAAACTAATTATGGAAGTTACAATTGTTTATATATGAAAAATTTCTTTAAGTTGCTATTAATTAAGTGCAATAAAAAGTTAGTACCAGTATATTTCAATGTTTTGCTTAACAAACGCCAATTTAAAACCACTCCCTAAGAGAGATTTTGCATGATACATGTCCACTACCGGGTTCCATTTCATGTCATTTTATAATACCCAGTATCCTGTTTATGAAAATGTGACAGCATTAATTATTACTTGTTTATGATTTTCTTTGAAAAACAATTACAAAAACAGATTATTTTACATGATTAAAAACAATTATCTAAGAAAATCAAAATTGATCTTTTGTTTGTCACTTATAGTTAGAATAATCTGTGCCTCCCAAACACTAGTACAACTAGTGTAATGTAGCAAAAAAATTACAGAATGAGAATGGCTTCGAAACGATTTTGAAGAATACAAAAAAAGTGTTTTACGGCTTTCATATTTTTACAAGTTTATTCATAAAGTCGATTTTTTTAAAGACATTTTTGAACTCCTGACTTTAGAGTTTATCTTTCATTTGAGAAACATTAACGTTCGTCAAAAAAGCTGTCACACATGGGCGTTGATCAGTGTTTCATAAATGCATCTTGCCCGCAAAATCGTATTTAAGGTTCATTGATACTCTGATAAGAGAGATAACTCTTTATGACATAAATGTGTATTATTCCTTTATAGAATTGCCAAGTTGAAAGTGTCTTTTTGTCCAATTTTGCCCCGCAAGCTTTGCTATTTAACTGTCTGTATTTTACTTAAAGATCGAATACATTTACTGTGGAAAATCATGAAGATTCAAGCAACAATTTATATGAGTGAGCAGAGGGTATATGAACCTTAATTTGCCGATAACTTTTGATTGGTTGAAGATATGGCTTTCAAAAGCGTATTTTTAGAGCCAAGATCTTTCTTTGGGTACCAACATATTAGAACTACTGACCTTGACCTTGGGGTTTGACCCATATTTGCAAAATTTAACAAACTTTAACCTTGGTCATAACTTTTGAACAGTCTAAACCTATGCCATAATTTCTGAACAGTTAGTACTAGGGCTTTCACATTTAACGGATATGATACATGTATATTCCCTGCGACAAGACCTTTGTCGAAAGCAGCTTCTCAAAACAGCTTGTTGTCCCCCGCTTTCGCGAAAGCGAGGGGACATTAAATCTCATTCGTCTGTCCGTCTGTCAGTCTGTCCGTCACAAAAACTTTAACCTTGCCCATAACTTTTGATTTAGTAGAGCTATGACTTTCATATTTCACTTGTGTATTCCTTGTGACAAGAAACCACCAAATTTGACCTTTTGACCTTGACCCTGGAGTTTGACCCACTTATACACAGAAATTTCAAACTTTTACTTTGACCATAACTTTTGAATGGAAGATACTAGGACTTTCATATTTCAAAAATGTATTGTTTGTGGCAAGACCTTTCATTGGATACCAATAACCTTGACCTTTTGACCTTGACCTTGGAGATTAACGTACTTATGAAAAAACGTTAACCTTGACCATAAGTTTTGAACGGTGAGTACTAAGGCTTTCGTTCTTCACATAAGTAATCCTTGTGAGAAGACCTTTTATTGGATACCAAGAACGTTTACCATTTGACCTTGACCTTAGAAATTTAACTACTTTTTGAAAACTTTAACCTTGGTCACAACTTTTAAACAGTAGATACTAGGACTTTTATATTTCACATATGTATTCCTTGTTGCAAGACATTTCATTGGATACCAACAACCTTGACCTTTTGACCTTGGAGATTTACGTACTTATGAAAAAACGTTAACCTTGACCATAAGTTTTGAACGGTGAGTACTAAGGCTTTCGTTCTTCACATAAGTAATCCTTGTGAGAAGACCTTTTATTGGATACCAAGAACTTTTACCCTTTGACCTTGACCTTAGAAATTTAACTACTTTTTGAAAACTTTAACCTTGGTCACAACTTTTAAACAGTAGATACTAGGACTTTTATATTTCACATATGTATTCCTTGTTGCAAGACATTTCATTGGATACCAACAACCTTGATCTTTTGACCTTGACCTTGGAGATTTATATACTTATGAAAAAACTTTAACCTTGACCATAATTTTTGAACGGTGAGGGCTAGGGCTTTCGTACTTCACATATGTAATCTATTTGAGAAGACCTTTCATTAAATACCAACAACTTTTACCCTCTGACCTTGACCTTGGAGTTTTAACTACTTTAAAAAAAACTTTAACTTTGGTCACAACTTTTGAAGGGTAGATACTAGGACTTTTATATTTCACATATGTATTCCTTGTTGCAAGACATTTTATTGGATATCAACAACTTTGACCTTTTGACCTTGACCTTAAAGATTTACGTACTTATGTGAAAACTTTAACCTTGACCACAACTTTTGAACCTTAAGGGCTAGGGCTTTCATACTTCACATATGTAATCCTTGTGAGAAAACCTTTCATCAACAACTTTGACCCTTTGATCTTGACCTTGGAGTTGACCTACTTTTAAAAAACATTAACTTTGGCCGTTAGTTTTTAACGGTCAGGAAAAGGGTTTTCATCCTTCAATGATAATTTCTATGAAATGACATATGATAGGATGTTCATATTAGACACAATATGTCATAAAAAATAACATCTCACCAACAAAAACACCGAAAGCGGGGGACCACAATTCTTTGAATTTGCTTGTTCCTTCTACAATACATATAAATTTACAATATACCCATATTGATCGACCATCTTCAACTTTAGCAACGTATTTTTATCGGTCGCAGCAGCGGCCGATCTATTTGTGGTTGTGTTAGAAAGTGCACATGGGTAAATGAGATATCATTATTTTATTAGTTCAGTAAAATAATTCTCAAATGGGGGGGGGGGGGGTTAATCGTTGTTATTTTGTTTCAATTTCATTGTCATTTGGCATCAGATAATTGATGATTTATGGTTAAATAAAAAGAGTTTACAATGGGTACTCCCCATGCATGTATATGCATTATATATAGGCATTGAAAATGGGGTTTACCATTTTTGTTTGATTAGCCTTCCCCCTTTCAATTAGCCCACCCCACCCCACTTTCGATTTGCTTCCGACGCCCATGCATATTCATCATAGACTTTCTTACATCGGTAAATCCATTGGACGAGCAAATGCACTAAAATTTCTAGTTTAAAATATATATTTTATTCATTGAATTGGATTCAACAGCAGGCATGATACTAAAATTTCTATCAAATTTTTAAAAATATTTATCTTGCTTTGAAGACGGCCTGAAATAAAAATGATCACTATTTCAGCTTTGAATATCCTGTTCTTTTCTTGCAGGAATGCTTTGAATTGTGAAAGTACTTTTTTGACATGTTAAATATGTTAGCGGCCGATTTGATGCTTTGCATCAATTTACTTGTTAAAATATGTTTCTCAGCGGGGAGAAGACCTGTGGTACATGTACCTATTATTTCCTCTGAAAAACAAGAGAACTCTTTTTTTGTACGGAGAAAAAACTTTATAAAATGCGTATACTCGTATTTTAATACCATGGTAAGCATGAATATCACATGTTTGTACTGTTACAGTAATATATGTTTAAGTAATAAAGGTATGTAGTAATGATTGAATGATTCATCTTAGATTTACATATTTAAAAAGTACAGTGATTGTAATTGTTTCACAACAGTAAAAGATCATCACCAAAAAAAAAATGACAGAAATAAAAAAAAAATGTTAACGTAACCTTGTAAAAAAGCATATTAACTACAAAATATTTATTAAAATACGTGTACATGTGTGCTAAAAAATAAACAGGTTAAAATTTAGAATATTCAAATTATTCATTTTTTAAAAGAAAAAAAAATGTATGTACATGCACTGCAGTTCAATGATTACATAATTTACAGAAAGAAAAATCATAATTTACAGAAAGAAAAATATTTCTGTAATTCTAGCAAAATTATAAACAGTAAAAAATATCTTCTGAATCACAGGGAACACGCTTATGGTGGATTGATGCTTCTAGCGAAGTGATTTCCATTTCCCTTGACTTTAATAATACAGATTGAACAGTTAAATGTACAGAACTGAAGGCCCCCCCCCCCAGTCCATGGCACTTCGTTATAAGCGTGTTTTTTGTTTAAAAACTGTGACTGCATAAGAAAAAGAATTCTAAAATTTCAATTTGACAACATGTTTAAATCTATGTGCAGCTAATTAAATATAGTTTCGAATATCGACATCACCCTGATAATACCCCTTGCCTATACAGTTAGTTTGATATGTCAACTGCACTTTAAGAAAGCTAATGTACTTTGACTCGAGCAAGTCACTTATCCTGCTTGTGTATTAGAATGGTGATAGTTCACAGGTTCGTTGTTATTCAGAGTAAAATACAAAGTAAAAGCCAGAATATAAGTGACTAGTCCTGCAATGACTCCACAAATGACGAAAATCAGCGCCATCTTGGCGCGCCTCCGGGAGGACATTTCGTCTCCAAGTTGCCACGCATGATTTGCTTGAACTGTAAAATAAAGTGTAAAACTGTCAGTTTCCTTAGTAAATACAATTACTGAATGCTTTTGTGCATTCTTTTTTATTTTCAATTTCATGTTTTGTATTTATAATTTAATGGGTACAAATTTGATAATATTACTGGGACTGAAATTGGTTAAGTGGACAAATAATTTCGAATGTGAATATTATTGTTACTTAGATTAATTGGTAGTAATCAAGACTTACCTCCGAAGTGATACCCTAATAGTCCAAAAATGAAATTACAACATAATAAGACAAAACATGACGTCACTACGTAGTCTTTTGGCTTGGGTTTCAGTGGTCCCTGTCGAACCACAGGTGCGTCCATATTGTGAACTGTGACGTCACTGACGTATGACGGCGGGGGTAGGGCGTCGACAGGTTGATCACTAATGACATTATTATGAGGTTCCCCGTTTTCCTTTGAACTAGGACCTTTATGATCTGTTGAATATTTCGCTAAATGTGTGTCAACCTCGAGTTGAATATCCTCGAATTCATCGTCCTCCTTGCTTTCAGATTTACCCGTATTCTTATCGTCGTTCACGTCCATTTTTTCTGAAAGGAAAGGAGGCTCAAACTTAAGTCTTTTGTTTAAACTTTAAACAAAAAGGACAAGCGATTCCCCAACCTTTTGTTATATCGACGCATGCAGTGGTGTAATCTATTAGGTCCAATGTATGTCTCAATACTGTATAGTAAAAAAATAAGAATATATTATGGAATGGCATTGATGGCGTTCCATATTACATATACTTTTAAAATATAAAGAATTGCCTTACAAGACAATGGGCTAATTAGTTTAACCAATCACCAATTTATCAGTCCATACATCTTATGTCCGTATACAGAAAAGGAACACCAAATCACACGTGTACATGTACATATATACATACCCCCTAACTTTTCCTATTGAATAGTCGGTTAATAAATTGTTCACTAACAGTAGTTATGTTTTATAAGGAAAACTTCTTTCATATCAAAGGCCTGTTTTGCATCATATGATCAATTCAAACCACAATTTAAAAAAAAAACAGAGCAAAAACAACATAGTCATTTTATGCTATCAGCAATGTTTACATGTACGTTGAATAGACAGCAGGTCAAACAATTATAGATACATATTCTTTATAAATCTTAAAGGGTTGATAAATAGTGGATTATCTGAATATCATTGAACACGACAATCAACATGATCAATACAATATGCACTCGGCCGTTCAGTGCGTATATTTCCCATACATTCTCGTATATAAACATTACACCACGTTAGGTTTGAATCACGATGTATTTTTCGATTGAACATGACAATCTAATAACCAAGGTATGCAAGTAAGATCGGGACTTTCTAAAGCTTCATTCTTAAGACATAGGAAGGAAAATGCTTGACAACGAGTAAGAAAACTATATCCTTATACATAAGATTATTTTTATCAATATAAACATGGCCTTACCTCACCCGGACTTGTCCATTTACCTGTTTACACCTGAAAGCGTCATTTTCTACGGGAGACAACTCGAAATTTAATAATTAGTTATAAAAAGGCACATCAAAAAGAGATTTTATTTCACGAAGAGTGAGGTTAACTTACAAAAAATAAAATTGAGCCATGACCGTAGAAATTTGGAGGGGGGGGGGGGGTGGTGGTGGTGGTGGTGCAATCACATTTTCCCAGTTTTTATAAATCAGTTGCAAAAAGAATTATCCTCGATCAATCCACAGCCTGTGATGGTGAACAGCACAGTGACTTGCTTCTGAAATGCAGTTTAAATAATGGTTATTTAAATAATCGTATTCACAAATCACTTTGACCATTTTACCGACAAAATTTTACAGTTACATGTACATGCTAACCTTTATATTCAAGTAGCTTAATTGTCTCCTAGAGGTTCGGGAGAAATAAATATCATGTAAATGTACATTGAAAATAAGATCAATTTGGTATGATAACCTTTTCACCGCCCTTGAAAAAATAAAAATCTTTTTGATTTCAGTAGTTGTCAACTTGTCATATTATCAACTTCCACTCCAAAACCACCAATTTCAACTAATCTGGGTAAAAAGAATCCCGCAAAAAGATGATTAAACAATGAGTTTGTTCAAAAAGAAGGAGGGATGAACATATTTTTTCCTAAAAGTCAAAAACAGGGTTGTTGTTTAAAAACCCTTCACAGAACTATTGGACCACCAGGGTGAAACGTGAAAACTTTAATCCAAGTTTATTAAAATCCAACCCAGTTGAAATTTATATTAGACCCGCTTGTATACTTGCTATACTAGCGACTATGCCAGTGGATCTAACATTTAATATTAATCATTAAAATTGTTATACCTTTAAAAATTTGTTCCAATACAAATCTTTACAAAAAAAGTCTAACATTTCTAATGTTTTGCTGAGCGGGCATAAAAAAATCGATGTTTGACCGCTGAGTGAGATGTTGAACCGCAGAGCGGGGCTTAATCTCATTTTCATTCGTTGGTGTTCAACAGTGACGGACCCGATGTAACATCACAGAATACAGTACAAAATAAATGTATGGCAAAAAAATAAAATAAAATAAAAGATGTAACAAAACATTTATTGACCGAGTTCCGAGGGCAAAACTCATGTTAACCTCGAACTCAGTCAATAATTGTATATTATGACTCAAGAATACAAAATAGGTCATTTCACACAGCTTTCTTGAATGTTTAGCAAGGTTGATTTGAATGCAACAGATTTACATTGAAATACTCGAGTAGATTGGAAGGATGACAGGGATATAATGGGGCCTCATACTTGTAGGTAAACATACACCAGTTTTCATGTAAATGTTCATTTTCAGCTAGGAAGACTTTTAACACATTTTAGTAATTGACACTTTTATAATTACTCATCTTTTCAGAAATTCAGTGCTAGAAATCATGGCGTTAGTGTTGCTTGCTATATTTGCAATTTTCTTCCTAAAAATAAAAGCTGGGAGGTGGAAATGTCACTGAATGCCTGTTAGCAATAAAAACCCCTTTTCCTTTTGGAAGAAGTTGGGATTTGATCTAACATTCATGTCTGCATCACTGAAATCAAATGAGTAACACATTTTATACAGCAACTTTTATTTGCATCACTAAATGCTTGTAAACAGCATAAAGATTGTTGGAGTTTTTTGTCCAGTAACTTCTTGTCTGCATCAGTGATATTTTTATCCAGCTTCTTTTATGTTTGTGTCACTGAAAGATTTTAGCAAATAAAGGCTTGCTGGAGTTTTAGAATAATTTAGCCAATTTTAACGAAATTGTCACAAATGCAATATACATTGTATTTCAAGTCTCAGACACCAACTGGATTGAATTTTTCAACACTAATTTACTAATTAATCTCTATTTGCATTGAACCACGTGGTTTTTCAACCTGACGCACTTAAAATTCCCATCAAACCTACAATCTTCAATAACCAAGAATTTAAAGATTAATATTTATTTACTGATTTTATGAAATATTCATAACAAACTAAAATGTTCACTACTGAGGCTATTTTACATTATGTTTGATGCAGTATGTAAGGCACATCAGATTTTCCCACAGTCATATGTTTTAGATAACCACTTTAGGTCTAGTTAAAGAGTTTTATTTTCCAAGTTTAGGGAATTCCTCAGGAAACAACACCAATCTTCTACACGTGGGACAGGTCATTTCTCTGCCATAAACCCACTGTTTGATACACTGAAAGTAGAGTAAAAAGGTATATATTAATTTTGTAAAGAAACACACACAAGAATAGGGAAATTTAAGTTAAGTGCATGTACTTAATTCATAAATACATGTTTTGTAAGCACATATATTATCAAATATGAATAATTTTTTTTTATTTATACAAAATTTTATTCACATAAGTGAATGGAATTGGCCAGCAGGCAAAGCCGATTTTAGCCCTCTCCCTAATTATTATGAATAATTTGCATAAAACAATCTAAATTCCATCGATTACTGTCTTCATAAATATTATACTTCATTTTAGAAAGGTGTACAATTAATCTTAATTTCTTGAAACAGGGTTCGACATTAACGTTAGTCCTTTAGTCTCAGACTAATACATTTTTATTCGGACTAATAAAATTTGTGGCTATTAAATAAATCCGAACGGACTAGTAAGGTTTTCTGGGGGAGAAAAAAAGAATTTAATGATGTTCAATTCTATACAACTTTCACTGGAAAACCCCGTACATATTTTTAGCTTTCTAGTTTCTTGGCAGGAAGTTAGGTAATTCTGGGCTAATTAAGCACTTAATTTTAGGACTCACTGCTATGAAATTAAACATTTTGATGATCATGATTTAGTATGACACATAAAGAAAGATGTCGGACGTTTGAATGATGTAATCATATAGAAAAAAAAAAACGAATGAGATTGGGAATACGATCGTATTTCCTGATCGCGCAGTTTCAACGAATTTTGGTATGAAGTATTTCATGTAAATGCTTTGTTTATTTCAAAAAAGTATAAAAAGCACATTGCCATGTTAATTCAATTTACTTATTTATATTTTAGACGGACTCATAAAATTGCCCACGGACTAGTAAAAGTAAAGAGGCACTAGTCCGGCCTGACCAAAGCCTAAAAATGTTAGTGTCGAACCCTCTTGAAATTCAATTTATCTGGCAACCATGCAGTGCAATAAGTCATTCCAAAGAAAAGCTGTTCTCACAAATATATCAAATAGGACTAGTTAATATACCCCTGCATGGAAAACATGTCCACAATCCAGACTCTTGACTTCTTCAGAGCTGAGCCCATCATGACAGATAACACAAATATCCTCATCATCCTTTGGTGGCTGTTAAGTATAGCACAAACAATTCAATAAAAATTGTATCAAATTACATACATATCACACTAAAATGAATCTTACAAAATTTACTCCCACAATGACATGACCTATGGTTGTTCACAATAACTTTCTATAATATGCCTTGTAGTATAGATGGCTTTATTGAATGCTCTACTGTAAGTCAGTACTAGTAATTTGTTATCATAAAATAGGAACTCAGACCTGGCCTGGGGGCCATAAAACTTAGACGAGCTCACTTTTGATCTAAGTCTCACTTTTTCCAAAGGAATATATAGTGGAAAAGTGAGACTGAGATCGAAAGTGAGATCATTTAAGTTTTATGGCCCCCAGGCCTGAAGTATAATTTAAAATATCGACGGAAATTTGAAAACAGATTTTTTAAAGGTAGAAGTTATTTTCTAAAAGGAAACCAATATTTATTATAGGTTAATTTTCAGTCAAGTTGCAACTCAAATCAAGACACATCAGGCCTAGGGGTCATAAAACTTAGACGAGCTCACTTTTGATCTCAGTCTCACATTTCCACGATTTCTTCCTTTGGAAAAAGTGAGACTGAGCTCAAAAGTGAGCTCGTCTAAGTTTCATGGCCCCCAAGCCAGACCTGATTTTGGGAAAAGTACAAAATCCCAAAGGAGGATATTCATGCTCATCTATGCTAGTTCATGAGAAAATGATCTTTTTCTCTTATTGGCAAGGAAAGTTAAGGGAAAATACTTGGAAATTTAAATCTAATAATACTTACAGATTTTGGTTGAGTTCTCTGAAATGGCATGGAGAAGTCAGGATAACACTGGGTTACCATTTTGTTCTACAAAAAAAAAATCATGACATATCAATAAATTTTACACTGAGTCATCTTAATGAAGTTCTTCACACTGCTAACTAAAGAATTCTAATTCAATGTTGTGAAATGACCCGTCGAGTTTTCCTTTGAAGTCAAGCATACTGTAACTGCAATACAGAACACTTTTTGTGGGCGTTTCTTATGCAAATGAACAAAAACTGTACTTTTCAAAATATCAACGATACAGTACGGTTTATTTTTAGCGATGACGGAAAGCTGTATCCATATTCAGACAAAACAATCGTTCAATTCAAATGATAACACTGTCAGTAATTACTCAAAATTTGAGGTGATTTAATTAAGAATAAAATTTTACACCGTAAAGTTATGAGTTTCGGATTCAAAAAATTTAGAAAAGAGGAAGTGGGGCAGTTCAAAAACGATTACTTTGACCCCCCCCCCCCCCAAAATGGAAAATCGTTATTTCGGGTGGCAGGGGTAGGTTTATCAAGACACTGTGCATGAAATTGGTACTTTTTGATAAATTAAAAAGCGTATGTATATAAGTTTGGCAAAAATAATTAACAAAAACGAAGAAAGAAAAAAAATTAAAGTTGGATGGGATGGGGGCACTTGTGAGTACTGGATCTTCCTTTGGTTTCTCTACATTTTACATTAAAAAAACATGAAAGTAAAATAACCCTCCCCCTTCCTTTCATCTATTTATTTCCATTTTATATATGAAGACCGGTGGAGGACATTGTCGGACATTTCTCTCAGAATACGATATCCCTGAAGCATTTTTGTTTCAAAAATTTGATTCTTATACAATTTTTTTTGCATTAATTCATAGCTTAATTAAAAAAAAATGTCAGCAAGAGCTGAATAGAGAAAAAAAAAACCCTACCCAATCAAATCTAAATTATTTTTTTGGAAAACAAATTATATAATGCATCCCCAAAATAATTATTTTTTAAATAATAGTATATAGTTACCTGCACGTCCACCTCACTCGGCATTTCAGTTGCGAATGCTTAAAATGGGATACTAAATCAACTTTCTGCCAAAATCATCTGATTGGTTGAGAGATATTACCCAATATACGAATGTAAATTAGTGAGGTCATTTAAAGGTCATGTCACAAGTCATTTAGAATACTCGTTTCATACGTTTCATAGGAAACTCGTACTCTAAATATAACGTAGTTCAGTTAAAACTATCTGTCCTGTGATGTAAATCAAGAAATAAATAGTAAAGGACAAATCATCACTTCGTACCTTATTTTTCATGATCTGTGTGGCAAACACTCGGGCATGGGCCACGATGTCCTTAACTGATAATCCACTGAGCCCACCTCTCTGTTTCCTGACCGACGTTATCACACTTATCACCTCATCTCTGGAATCACACAAAACTTTGTCAACTCTTTTATTCTCTTAATTAACATCATTAAGGATTGCTACTTATTTCTTTTTTTCATTTTACACATTATCAAGTTGTATACCATAAAGATGCAACAAAATAAGGACCAGTGCCATAGAGTTGAAATATCTTTTTGAAAGGATTTATTATACAAAGTTTTAATTATCTGAGGATTTAATACTTTATTTAATTTGTTTATTTAAATATTTTATTTATTTAATTGTGCTATCCTGTCTAAATAAAAGAATTTATTATTATAAATATTGTGGAAAAGTTAAAAACTTCAAATATGATGGAACTTAACCTATTTAGTCCTGCAAAGATTTCTGAAAGTCGCTGAACAAGTTTCTCAAAATTGTTGGCTTTTTCACTTGGACACGTAGTTGACATTTTCTGTGGTAAATTCTTCAGGGGTGGATTCAATGGTTGTGGTGGTGGAAGCTGGTTCAGTTCTTTCTTCTTTCCTTTCTTGGTAACCTATGAGATATATTTAGTCTTATAAGTACTTTTAACATAATGTGACGATCTCCGAGGTCAATTTTCCAAAATGATTGTTTCTAACTTCAGAAGCATGTATAAATTTGTCAATTAAATCCAAAAAGCATCTAAAAATATTAAATTGATGAAAATGTTTAGAAAAACTTTAACTGACCTCAGTCCAGTTTTCTTTCTCTTCTTCGGTCATTTCACTGGACGGTGTTTGTCTTCCCGATCCTTTCTGGGCTCCTACAGATGTTGGGATGTCAGAGGTACAAGAGATCTGGTCCAACTGGTCTGCATTTTTACCAACTTCTACTGATAACAAAAATCAAGGGCTATTTTTAATTTTTAATTTTTTCAATAAATTGTTGCTCAAAAAATAATATGATATTGCTTTAGGAAAACTTCTTTTTTTTTGGTAGATATGTGGAAATTTTTAGCAAGATGCAAATTTAGCAATTTGTCGTTAAAACTGATATTTAATTTTTAATGACAAGTAATTTTAACAATTTTAAATGCTTACCAAAGAAACTGTTACAAATCAAACACTATTAATTTTTAGCGACATTCAATTTTAGCTCTCAGACCCTTGCCAAAATTAGATCCTGGCTAATAATTCTGCTTATAATGTATAACTCGGAGAACAATAATTGTCTTACCAGGCTTGTCCTTTTTCATCCAGTCTCTCAGTGACCCCTTCTCCATTGGTCTTCTCTTTGCGGTCCCTACACTGCCCAGTTTCTGCATCACATGCTGCTCTTGGCTGACTTCTACAGGGGGAGGGAGATCTTCTGTCTTCTTCACCAGAGGCTTCTGCCACTGATTGTACACATCGTGGGAGGACTTGGACTTCAGTTCAAACTGCTTCTCTTCTTCTTCATCATCATCTTCTATCTCGTCCAAGTTCAGAGTTTCAATTTTGGACTCCTCTTTTAATTCTGGTTTTACTGCACTATTTCTCCATGTGGAAAAACTGTCTACATGAGTTGTACACTTATCATGATTTAAACTTGCTGTTAGGTTTGAATTGCAAATTTTTGCCTCAAGCCCTTTTGATTTGTTCTGTTCTTGGTTTTGGTTGACATGCTTTTGAAGCTGGCCCCCACTGTCTCCCACACTATGAAAAGTGTCCTCCATCTTAGCTAATGGTTGTTTGGCATGGACAACACTTGAACTAGACTCAGTAAAGTTAGTAGGGTATGGTTTCATGTGGACCTCAGTATCTGAGGTGAATGGTTTTAAACTCAGTGGAGGTGGACAGGCCATCTGAGGATTCACTGTTGAAAGGTGTTGATCTACATAAGGTTTGGTTACTGAAGTTTCTACACTTGTCTGAATATTAGGTACACTGCAGGAGTTTCTGTTAGTGTTTTCAAACGGCAAATTTGAGGCTTTTGACAGAATGTTGGAATTAGAAATTGATTCCGCAGCAAGACCTGGTGGGGGTGCAACCCCAGGGTTAAGCTCCAGTGACATCTCCAATTCATTTTTCATGGCTGATTTAGTTAGTCCTACAGGTAATCCTGATCTTGAAGGCAACTGACGTGCAGTGATACCAGAGTTCTTGTAGGCACTTGGCTGTTTGGGAATGGCACCACTCGCTGTAGATGGAACAGAGATTCCTACAGCTTTATCTGCTAATGGTAATGACTTTGATGACTGAACACAGCTGGTGGTATCTTTAAGTTCATCCCTAGGGAGGCTTTCAACAGAGCTTCTCTTTTCCTGTTCTGGTGTTGTAAATTCAGACTTCACATTAGGAAGCATCTCTGTAGCTCCAACATTTCCCCCTGATAACATACAGGCCTGCAACACCATGGTCTGCTGAAGACTGATGGAATTCAACATGGCTGGATCTTTAGCAAAATCTGGATATACCTGAGCAATCTGTGCTTTAACTGCCTCAAAGAGAATTGGGTCAACAGTAACGCCCTGTTTTAACATATTTTGGTGCAAGACATTAGCATTCACTGCCTCAGAATTCAACTCTAAACCTGCTGAAAGTTGAATATTCTCTGCTAAAGATGTCTTCTCTGGGGCTATCAAGTTCTGTACACTTTGACTTTCAGACAGTGGCTGGGGAATATTGTTGCTTTGGTCATTTTTTTGATCCTCCAATTGAACGGGAATGTTCAAATCGTGTCCATTAACAGCTTTTCTTTCAGTGAAAGAAACTTTACCAAGATCACTTGATCCATCCTGAGAAATGCTGTTGTTTGCCTGATCTTGAACAGTTTGTGCTGTCTGTACTGGAATCTCCATCTGTAAAGCATGACTAGATTGCTGTATAATGTCTTCTTTAGCATTAGTAGGTAAAGAAATGGCACTTGTTTTCCCAGTACAAACACTTGTGGGATCCAAACTTGAAGGTTCGAGTTCACTGTTTTCAAAATGCATCTGCTTAGAATTCTTTATTTCAGAATGTTCAAAGCTGGTCCTTGTTGGGGTTGCATAATCCCCATATTTTTCAAGTCCTTGAGGCACAGACTTTTCCCACTCTTGCTGCAAATACTTTGCCACTTGCTCATTTGAAGACAAATGTCCTTGGTCCTCTGTGACCTATTTGTAAAACTTATTTATATTACTCAAGAAAGTAAATTATTGGGGGGGGGGGGAAAAATAAACAAAAGAAAAGATATTAATAGAATCAAGCAAAACTAGATTTTCTGAATCACTATGCCCCCGATGGTAACACAATTCTGGAGTGGGACATCACAGTTGAACATTTCTGTACCAATGGAAAAGTCTTGTCATAATAAACAGTCATGTCAAATATTAAAGCCCTATCCTGGACAATGCAAAAGTTATGGGCTAGGTTAAAGATGACAACAAACAGAGACAGACAAGACAAAAACAATAAACCCCCAGGATCTTTCCATTAGGGGGCATAAAATTTGATCCTTTATTGTAGCCCCAACCCCTGGGGTTAAGATTGAAATTTTTATTATGTAATGAAGTACTTAAGGATGCTTCCATATTTAAATATAATCAATGATGAGTTGGTTGATCATGCGAGGAAGATTTTCAACAGATTTTTCCTATATATTCCTATGTAAAACTTTGAACACCAAGTGTAGTCACATCCTATTCCTGGGGATCATGATTTGAGCAAACTTGATAATACACTACCTAAGGATGATTCCACATTATCCACAAGTTTCACATTTTCAGCATGGTGGTTCTTGAGAAGAAGATATTAAGAAATTGCCATCTGAACAAAATTGAATACTGTATACAGGGAAATTTTCGCTCCCGTTTTATTTTCGCCCCTTCGCCCTACTCTCATTTGGGCGAATTTAAAACGGGGCGAATTCAAAGAATAAAGTATAATTTCTTAAATAATTTCTTAAACAAAACTATGATTGTTTGCAAATGTGAAAGGGCGAAAATAAGACGGGGCGAAAATAAGACGGGGCGAAAATAACCCTGTATACAGTACTCGTCATCCAAAGATACTCTGTGGCAAGGTTGATTAAACTGGCTCTGTTCTTCTTGAGGATAAGATGTAAATGTGAAATGCTTGCAGATTGATGGAAAGACATGCGGATACCAGACAAAATGTGATCAGAAAAGCTCACTTGAGCCTCTGGCTCTTCTTTTCAAGCGCTTGTAATTACCCTTGTGACTGCATCTTCTACACTGCTTAATTTCTCCTGAGGTTCCACCTGATCTATTTCTGGTTTTTCCCCTTCCCCTCCAACCTTGACATCTAAAGGTTTATCCTGCATGTGACCCTTTCCTCCAGACTTGCTTTTCTTCTGCTTGGATTTGCCTTTGGATTTTTTCTTCAGGATTTGACTTTCACTCAGTGATTTAACAGGACTGGTTATTTCTTCTTCCTCCTCCTCAGGTTGACCTTTGACCTCCTCCAGAATCCTCCCAGGTCGATGTGTATTCACCACAGTTGTTTTCCTTGCAGTGGAGAGACGGTTCAGGTAGAGAGCTGCACTTGCGAGACTTTTAAGTTTCTGAATAATGATAAATGACAACAAAACAAGTGTATTTCATTTTTGATTGCAGTAATCTAAATTTCAATTTGAAATTCCCAGTAGTTTTTGGTAGGTAGAACTAGTTTCTGGGTGACCAAAACTGGGGCGTTTAGAAATCATAAAAAATAGATATATGCAAGTTTGTTTTTTTTGCAAAAGAAAATTTAAACACAGAAAACCAATTGTAATATTTACCTTTTTATTCATCATCCGGCTAGGTTGATTGTGAACTGGAAAACTGACTTCAAAACAGGGCACTTCTGACAGAATTTCACCTGAATCTAGTTTCTTTTGCATGGCTTCTATTTCCTCCTATTGAAATTTTTATAGTAATGTAGCAAATGCTTAACTTTCATTTTATAATCATAATCACTTGAGCATGTTTTGTAATACAAGCAATTTTAATAGTTTACAATTATTCTTTTAAAAAAATTGTAAATGAATTAAGAGATAAATATTATCCTTACTACAGTGTACATACAGAGAGATTCAGGATGTTCCCCTTCAGAGCTGTGATCTGTTTATCTATTTGTTCTTCCATGTCTATTTCTCTAAATAAATATACAATTCCTTAGAATGCATCAACCAACAGAAATCAAAACATTAGCTTACCAGCTAACAAGTTCTGATAGACACCTGCACTCCTTATATCCCTACCCAAAACTGCAGGGTTTACATTTACTATACAGGTAGAAAGCAGTTCAAACATGTGCGGCATCATGCTTTTTAACCAAACATCTTCCTCTAGATCAAAAAAGCAAAAATAGAATTCTCTATCTTACTCTATTTCAAAATATTTTGTCAAAATATTTTGTCAAAGTCAAAGATTTTTCCTATATATTTCTATGTAAAACTTTGATTCCCTAGATGATTCCTACAAAGAAATTACAATACTGTAGAAGTACTTTTTTTCCGCGTGGTATTAATTTATGCCATGAACGCGGTCACAAATTTTCCGCGGAAATTTGTCCAAGCGTACTTAATATACATGTAAGTTATTTAGGGACAGTTTAAGAAATCCGCGTAATTTTTTACCTGCGGATTAAACAGAAATTGAGATTCCACAGAAATATGACACCGTGGAAAAAAATACGTGTAAAGTATTTTTTATCTTACTGTAGATCAAAATAGGTTGTCAAAGTCTCCTTGCTCTTTTCCAGGCTTGTCACTTGTCTTTCCATTTCATCTAAACACACCTTCCCTCTCAGCAATAACAATTCCCTCTAGAAATGAAAAACATAATTTACAAGATCACTTTGATATTGATCTTTAGCCTTTTTTTTTTTTTTTAAATACATGTAAAAAAAAAATTTACGTGAGTTTCCACTTTGAAATTTGATATTTGGCCTTGGTTGTTTTTCTTTTTTAATGCATAAAAAATGTATATATTTGATATATATTATACCTGAGTTTCCAAAACCTTGGTCCGAAGTTCATTCATAGGAATAATGATTGTATCATCCTCTTCTAGTTCAAACGTCTCTGTGGTGTTCACGCCCACTTCCCTGGAATCACACGTGGCTGTTTCTACACTCTGGTCCTTAACTTTGACTCTGCTAGTGTTACAGGAGGCATCAACTACAGGATCCACCCAGGTCTGACAGGAGGCATTTTTAGAGTAATGGCCGTGACTCAGTTTGTGTATGTGCTGAGCTGGATTAAAGGAATAGCTATTTGGTTCTGTGTTCGACGACACAGAATTGACTAGAGACATGCTAAGAGGTTGACTAACTCTAGCAGCTGGGTTGAACTCCGGAGATACAGGGTTTAAGGAGGACTGAGTTCTCTCTTTGGGTGTAAATTCTGGGGATCCTGGATCTAGTACAGTTCTGAGAAGTTTGGAAGCCACAACACTGGGTAGCTTGGCTGATTTATTGATGCTAACACTTTGTCCGTTCGTCTGTTTATCACTTCCATATCTGGCCTGCCAAGAGTACAACTTCTTTTTACTCTCTCCAATTTCCTTCCCTTCCATCTCCTTTTCCAGTTCACTAACTGCCATAACAATGGCATCATTTACAAGTCTCTTAGCTATTTCATCTATACTTTCAGTTTGATCTTCTTTCACAGAACTGGACTCGCTATGCAAATCTTGTTGATCCTTTTCTACCTCCTTTTCTAAGTTTTCAGTTGAAGCATGATCTTTCCCACTTTTTATACTGTCTTCTTCAGAATCATTCTCTAAGTTCTCACTGTTTGTAGACATATATGATAGAACAGAATCATTCCTCTTCAAGTCCCAAGTTGAATCCCTTTTCTCATCACCCAGTAACTCCTTCCCTGCATTGCAATGATCACTAATTACCAAGTCTATATTTTCCTCAATCTCTCTTATCTCCTCAGAATTCTGAAAAATAGTCCCATTAGTGAGAGTCTTTTGTAAGCTAGAGGGTATGTTCAGGTCAGGTTTATTTTGAGTGAGGTTAGGACCACTGTCTGATTTACTAACACTCGTTGTCATCTTCATTTTCTGGTCTTTGTCTTGGGTTTTCAGAAACTGTTCCACGGTACTGCTGATTTCGATTCCATACAAAGATGCTTTTGCTTTGAATTTGTCCTCCGCAGATTGTGGTGGAGAAGGCGTTCTTGAAGCTAAAAAATAAACGGATCATTAATGCAGTGTTTCCTTTAACTTTTTTTTTATATTTTGTAGTTAAATAGAGATTGGTCCATAAAACATAAATACCCAGATGAAATGATGGAAGAAGGAAATGACACACACTATATGCCCAGGTCATATTCATGGTAGAACATGAAAAAGATGGAAGTGTGTGTATTGAGGGGTGGGGGAAGGAAAACAAAATGTACCTTGATATGCATACGATCCACACAATGAAGGAAAGCTTGTTTGATTTGCTAGAGGTTTAAGTGACTCTAGGTGTGGAGTTTTTATAGGTCCCGTCCCCAGGGGAGAAGTTGTAGATCTGTAAGATCCAGGAGGGGTTGCTGTTGGCTTGGGGTAATCTCCTGACATGTCTGGTGAATTCAGTAGCATCCCTGGGTTGACTGGTGAAGATTTAGAGGTTCCAGGTAAGTATGTATTAGCTGTAGATGATGGAGGAAGGCCCACTGACTGAATTAAGGATTGTCCTGTTACAGTTGGAACTGAAAATCTACAAAAAATGCAAAGAAATATGATTGCTCAACACATTTCAGTGATTGGGATAAGCACGCGCCCTGCGCCATAGTCGCATTAAATTTTAAAATGTCACATTAAAATTAAAAACGCTGCGCCATCGTGGCGCATATAATGCACTGCATACTTTTAAACTTTGAGCTTTCCCCCAAGCGCTTGTAGTCCCATAACAATCGCTGTAAATTTACGCTTGAAATAAAAACAGTGTTTTATATCGTTCAGTTAAAGCGTTCTTAAGACTTTCTTTTCTCCAGTATCTAATCAAACAGTTACGTGTTTTCTGATTGGCTAACGTGCATGAAATAAATTGGTGTCAGGAGTGCAGCATGCTGCCTAAGAAAATACCTCGTACCGATAAAGGACAGACTTTTCTTAATTTTCACAATCCTGACAAATCGCTACAAAATGACTCGGAAGAAGTATAACATGCTGACAGAACGAATGGAGATAAATCTGACGGTAAGACTGATGATGTAGTCTCGGAGGAAAAACCAAAACGAAAATTGAACATAAATTGGAGGGAAGCAGTATAGATCTAAACCAGGCTTTAAATCAACAAAAAATAAAGAATTGAAATTAAATTGCAGTGTTTATTTATTTTCTGACACTTGTGAATACAAATATACTAATTTTGTATCTACTCGTCTCGTATCCTGTTTTCGACCGTATTGTATTTTCGACCTATTTTTCCCAATCTGATCCCCGTTCCGATTCCGATCCCGATCGGTAGAATATTATTTTCGGTTGCTACTCTTGGAAAAATACCTTTTAAGCACAACTGTAGTGAAAATACCCAAAATAATTAATTCAACGGATTTTCCCCGATGGTTTTAGTCCGATGTCAGAAATTCTAGTCTTTTTACTAATGCACATATTATCTGTTGATTAATCAAAGCCGTAATCGGTTAATTACAAAGATTTTTTTGATGAAATTTTTCTGAAAGAAAATTAAGATCACTGTCAAAGAGACGCATGAATATTGAAATGAATGGGTGGATCAAACAATTTTTTTTCTACCTTAAATATGAGCACTTTCTTACAGATTTTTACTGAAAAATGCAACGTAATTTCATTGATTTTTTTTTTAAATGCACAGCTACTGACAGATGGATTCAACCAACGAATAAATGTATTTGCAACCAAAATATGCAACATGTTCAGTGTTTTTTTGAAGGACAGACAATCGTATTTTTATTGTTTGGAATATCCAATGGATATTTATAGCCAATATTGCTTGGGCGTTGATACTATATTTAGGTCGAAAACACAAGACGCTATTATTTTTGTAAGGAAAACTGTACCCTCTCCATATTATGGCATATAAATAAAATAAACACAAAACTGCAATTTGGGTTATATCATTTTATTTATAGACACATATGCTAACATTTTAAGCCCATATTTTCTCAGGTTCTTCAAAGTTTGTGGTAAATTAATAAATAACATCTAAATAGGTCGAAAATACAATACACCAGGATATTAATGTCGTCATTCAATAATTTGACAATTTCAATTAAGTAAAGTCAACTGAAATTCAAACAGCAAGTAATCAATTGCAAGTTTGTAACTAGGAAATGTCCCATTAACAAGAGGCCCAGGGGCCACAGCGCTCACCTGAGCACATCGGGCTTGAATTTACTACCCCACCCTTCCAGGCGTTCATCATTTGAACAAACTAGAATCTACACCACCTATGATTCCATATAAATATCACTAATCATGGCTTTGAAGTACTTGAAAAGAAGATTTTAAAAGGTTTCCCTATTTACCCCTATGTAAAACTTGGGTCGGCCATTTTGGCCCCACCCTATCCCCAGGGCCGGGGGTCATGATTTGAACAAACTTGAATCTACACTACCTGAGGATGATTCCACATGAGTTTCATCTTTCCTGGCCCAGTGGTAATTGAGAAGGATTTTTAAAGATATTTCCTATATATTCCTATGTAAAACTTCGGTTGGCCATTTTGGCCTCACCCTTGCCCTGGGGGTCATGATTTGAACAAATTTGAATCTACACTACCTGAGGATGCTTCCACATGAGTTTCATCTTTCCTGGCCCACTGGTTCTGGAGAAGAAGATTTTTAAAGATTTTTCCTATATATTCCTATGTAAAACTTGGGTCGGTCATTTAGGACCCATCCTAGCCCTGGGGGTCATGATTTGAACAAACTTGAATCTACACTACCTGAGGATGATTCCACATGAGTTTCATCTTTCCTGGCCCACTGGTTCTGGAGAAGAAGATTTTCAAAGATTTTTCCTATATATTCCTATGTAAAACTTGGGTCGGCCATTTTGGCCCCACCCTAGCCCCTGGGGTCATGGTTTGAACAAACTTGAATCTACACTACCTGAGGATGCTTCCACATGAGTTTCATCTTTCCTGGCCCACTGGTTCTGGAGAAGAAGATTTTTAAAGATTTTTCCTATATATTCCTATGTAAAACTTGGGTCGGCCATTTTGGCCCCACCCTTGCCCCGGGGGTCATGATTTGAACAAACTTGAATCTACACTACCTGAGGATGCTTCCACATCAGTTTCATCTTTCCTGGCCCACTGGTTCTGGAGAAGAAGATTTTCAAAGATTTTTCCTATATATTCCTATGTAAAACTTGGCTCGGCCATTTTGGCCCCACCCTTGCCCCGGGGGTCATGGTTTGAACAAACTTGAATCTACACTACCTGAGGATGATTCCACATGAGTTTCATCTTTCCTGGCCCAGCGGTTCTGGAGAAGAAGATTTTTTAAAAATGCCATTAATTTTTAACAAATTCATGATTATCTCCCCTTGGAAAAGGGCGTGGCCCTTCATTTAAACAAACTTGAATCCCCTTTACCCAAGGATACTTTGTAGCAAGTTTGGTTGAAAATGGCCCAGTGGTTCTTGAGAAGAAGATGAAAATGTGAAAAGTTTACGACGACGACATCGACAACAACGACTACAACGACAACGACAGACAACGGACAAATTTTGATCAGAAAAGCTCACTTGAGCCTTCGGCTCAGGTGAGCTAAAAAGTCTGTTTGGCGCATTGAATTTTGAAATGTCACATTGACACTGATTTGGGGTGCGCCATTGTCACATTTACTCCCTAGCTTATCCCAATCACTGCATTTTCTTCAAAGCTAAAAGAATTTTACATACCATATAAGTGTTTTGTATCATAGGAAGAAACAAGCTGTGTTTTTTAGCCCTAGCACCAATCTTTCAGAAAATGTGGTTAAGGTTATAAAGTAGGTCAAACTACTCTGAAGTTAAAAGATCAACTATGTTGGTAACCTCCCCCCCCCCCCACCCCTAAAGGTCCTATTACAAAAATACACATTAGAAGTATGACAGCTATTTCCCCAGAAAAAAGCAGTGTGCTTGCCAATAAAATGTTAAAATAAAATGTTTTCCCTACCTACCTACCCTATTTTTTCTTAGGTTTGATTAGGAAACACAGTATTTATTTATCTTGGCCTGACAGGGCTCTCACACCACTTTTTGGGACTTGGGCTGGGGCTGTTCAAATTGGGAAAATTATCGTCATTTTGGGAAAAGTTGGATAACCAACATTCATTAAAAAGTTAAAAACAAATCCTCAAATTAATTTTGCTTTTCTAGCATTTTGTCATCAATTTAACAAACAGTTGAACAGAACAAACATGGCTACGTAGGCTATTTATGAAAGTACGTTAGCTTTGACATGTTACCATCTTAGAGTGTTGATACTACGGTTATCTGTCTTTCTGATTGACAGTCGCTAGTCACATAGTCCCGAATTTCCTCGATCACAAGGACAACTTTGCTTACCAATTCAGCGTGAGACTGAACATGCCGCAGCGTGGGTATGTTTCTAGATGCATGCAGCTTACTGATCGATGTTTAAATGAAATGTCTATTTTTGAAACCAAAATGATGTTTTTATCGAAACTACATGACAAGATACTCTGCATTCTAAGGGTGAAACGTTTACTGAATTTTGTACAAATTTGGATATTTATGGCTACTGTCGAATTTAATAATCAATTCTTTCACTTTAATATAAATATGAGTTGTTATTACAAATTTATTGTTGGTCATTGTGATTTAAGAGTTTGAGGCGCATTAAACTCGTTCACTTTCGACCTCGTTACCCAACTGCTTGGTTTGTTTGGATACCGGACGTAGAAAAAAATAATTGTAAAGATGGATCTTTTAATCTCGAAAAAAGTATAACAAGACCTGCTGACTGTATTGAAACTTTTCAAAGACTCGTGAAAAATGTATTATATTTATTTAATCAAAATATATCAAGTTTTATATTTCAAGTGTCGTAAAACATCGATATTATTAGCAACTCGTTTAATTATGTTAGCCCGTATCGGGTCTTAGATATTTTTTATTCAATATGTTTCCGGTTTAGATTGTTGCTTATCAAAATGGTCAAAGACGGTGTTTCTTTTGTAAATTATGAAATAAAACAATTTGTTTGTGTTAAACTTTATTTCTGATAGACATTGAGAATGACCTTCGTGTAAACGTTTACTCAAACTGTAAACGTTTAGAGCATATAATCGAAACGTCGCCGTTTACACGTGTAATCGTTTCGCCCTTACTGCATTCATAGTTAGTACACATTTTTGTAAAAACAATAACCTGGTTCCCTGAACCAGTTTACAAATGCATTTGGCGCTAACTAATAAAATAGTCTTACAGTTTCACTTTCATTTGCAAGTGTGTTTTGTTTGGGTTTTTTGGCGATTATGTTTCATGGACTTTTATTTTTTAATTAATATTTTGCTATGGAAATTGGGAAATTTACACCTTTCTTTTGGGAAAAAAGTACCTTTATTGCATTGGGAACGGGGCTGAATATCGGCCACAGATTTAGAGAATTGAGAGCCCTGCCTGATCATCATTTTCAGACAATTTCTATGACATATTGTTTCAGACAATTTCTGGCAAAAAAAAAATAGATAATCAAAGATTACGAACCTCACCTCGACGAATATTATCAGTGTAAGTAATGCAAATCTCACATCATATTTTCTTAATATTTAGTATTTATCCCAACAACAATATTCTTGCAAGTTGTGTTTAACCCCTTACATTTCTACACCTGAAGAAAAACAAGAATAGTGTAAACAAATATTCATAACTTTGTTAATACTGCAAATATCAAGGACTTCAAGTTCATTGGGAATGATCTGTTCCCAAAACTTTAACATACTGCATGGTCTCTTGTATGGAAAATATAGGTCTGATCCAGCATCCGAAGCAAGTCTGGTAGTGTCCATCCCTAGCTGCATCATCCATGCAAGTTTGGTTCAGGTAGGGCTTATAGTTACTTGGGAATGAAAATATACATCAGATCCAGCATCCGAAGCAAGTCTGGCAGTGTCCATCCCTAGCTGCATCATCCATGCAAGTTTGGTTCAGGTAGGGCTTATAGTTACTTGGGAATGAAAATATAGGTCAGATCCAGCATCCGAAGCAAGTCTGGTAGTGTCCATCCCTTGATGCATCATCCATGCAAGTTTGGTTCAGGTAGGGCTTATAGTTCCTTGGGAGTGGACCTGCTCCAAAAACTTTAACCTGGAAAATGTAGGTCACATCCAGCATCCGAAGCAAGTCTGGTAGTGTCCATCCCTAGATGCATCATCTGTACAAGTTTGGTCCAAATAGGGCTTATAGTTTCTTGAGAATGGACCTGTTCCAAAAACTTTAACCTGGTCATATATCTGGAAAATGTAGGTCAGATCCAGCATCCGAAGCAAGTCTGGTAGTGTCCATCCCTAGATGAATCATTTGTGCAAGTTTGGTCCGGGTAGGGCTTATAGTTCCTTGGGAATGGACCTGCTCCAAAAACTTTAACCTGGTCACTCATCTGGAAAATGTAGGTCAGATCCAGCATCCGACACAAGTCTGGTAGTGTCCATCCCTAGATGAATCATTTGTGCAAGTTTGGTCCGGGTAGGGCTTATAGTTCCTTGGGAATGGACCTGCTCCAAAAACTTTAACCTGGTCACTCATCTGGAAAATGTAGGTCAGATCCAGCATCCGAAGCAAGTCTGGTAGTGTCCAACCCTAAATGCATCATCCATGCAAGCTTGGTCTGGGTAAGCCTTATAGTTCCTTAGGAATGGACCTGCTCCAAAAACTTTAACCTGGTCACTCATCTAGAAAATGTAGGTCAGATCCAGCATCCGAAGCAAGTCTGGTAGTGTACATCCCTAGATGCATCATCCATGCAAGTTTGGTTCAGGTAGGGCTTATAGTTCCTTGGGAATGGACTTGCTCCTAACCTGGTATGCCAAGGCTAACGCCGATGCCAACGCCCGGGATATAGCATAAGCTCATCTCCACTTCGTCGAGGTGAGCTAAAAAGTCATTTTTTTTTACCATCAACGTTTTCTCCCATCAAGGAATTTTTCCTTCACAAGTCTGCAGATTTAAGAAAATGTTGAGTGTATACCAAAAGTTGGCACCCTTACACTTGATTAAGAAAGATGTATATGGTTAAATTTAATCAAAATTTTTAAAAAATATTTTTGAAAAGAAGGTTTCTTTAGGATTCTTGATTTAAATAACCTAGAATCAATGCCTGCATGTCAAGATAACTAGCCTGGTGGTCTTGATCTTCTGAAGAATTTTCTGAATAACATTTCCTTGTCGAAATTTGTGTCCCTACCCATGCCCAGGGGGTCATGATTCATTTTAAAATGAATCAACATTAAGGATTTAAGGACACTGTAATTTGACTTTTGTCAAATGGTTTTTAATAATATTTTTAACTAAACACACCTTATTTTCTATAGATATTTTTTATTACACCCCTTTAGAGAAAGGATGTGACTCCCTATTTTAAGAAATTTGAATACCCTCCACCCTCAAAAAATAAATGATTCAAAATGGTTCTGAAATAAAAAACATAAATGTTAAAAGGTAATGATAACAGATTGTAGATGACCTTTGATCAGAAAAGCTCAAGGCTTAATTAAGAGTATAACATAGCGGCATTGTGGTAATACTGTAAAACATTTGGTACTGACCTAGGATATATGGTTGAAGCTTCTGGATATCTAGGTCCCACTGTTGGTGTCACTACATTTGGGGGAGGTCTGGACACTGGATTAAGAGCTGAGGAACCCGGGATCCGAGTGTAGGGCTGAGCATGGTAAGCTGGGAACTTGTTTTCTTCTTGGTACGGATTTATTCCCACTGGCACTCCTGCTAGATAAAACATATATATGCATTGAAAGTGAATTATTTTACTTCTATAAAGATGGAATATTGTATTAAGACATAACAAGGGGTTGAAGAGGGAGGGGTCAATTACCTCCTGATCCCTTCCCTTTTCCACTTCTTTCATTAAAATCTTACATTACCTGAATTATATTGGACATACGGCAAAGTTGATTGGGTGTAATACTTAGTATATCCATCCCCTATCTGGTAGGGATACACTGGTATATTGTGGTTCATTTCTGCTAATTAATTTTCTTCATTGCTGAAACAGAGAAGAAAACATATTGAGATTTGATGGGAAATCAAAAAAAAGAACTTCTGAATTATACAGTCCAGTCCAATAAGAAAATTCGTAATATTACGAACAAGAGGCCCATGGGCCACATTGCTCACCTGAGAAGCTTTGACCATTCTGTTCTTTACCAGATTTCCCCCTTGTAATACATAATGCATCCCCACCCTACCCCACTGATCATAATCTAGACATTTTGAAATCTACACTACCCCAGGATCCTTCCATATGCACATAAGTTTCAGCTTCCCTGGCCCAGTGGTTCTTGAGAAGAAGATTTTCAAAGATTTTTCCTATATATTTCTATGTAAAACTTTTGTCGGCCATTGTGGCCCCGCCCTTCCCCAGGGGGTCATGATTTGAATAATTTAGAATCTACACTATACCAGGATGCTTTCACATAAGTTTTAGCTTTTCTGGCCCAGTGGTTCTTGAGAAGAAGATTTTTAAAAATTTTTCCTATATATTTCTATGTAAAACTTGGATTCCCTATTGTGGCCCCACCCTACCCCCGGGGGTCATGATTTTAACAATTTAATATCTACACTACCCAAGGATGCTTCCACATAAGTTTCAGCTTTTCTGGTCCAGTGGTTCTTGAGAAGAAGATTTTCAAAGATTTTTCCTATATATTTCTATGTAAAATTTTGATTCCCAGTTGTGGCCCCTCCCTTTCCCCGGGGGTCAAGATTTTTACAATTTTGAATCTACACTCCCCCAAGATGCTTCCACATAAGTTTCAGCTTTTCTGGTCCAGTGGTTCTTGAGAAGAAGATTTTCAAAGATTTTTCCTATATATTTCTATGTAAAATTTTGATTCCCTATTGTGGCCCCGCCCTTCCCCAGGGGGTCATGATTTTAACAATTTAGAATCTACACTATACCAGGATGCTTTCACATACGTTTTAGCCTTTCTGGCCCAGTGGTTCTTGAGACGAAGATTTTCAAAGATTTTTCCTATATATTTCTATGTAAAACTTTGATTCCCCATTGTGGCACCGCTCTTCCCCCTGGGGTCATGATTTTTACAATTTATAATCTACACTACCTCAGAATGCTTCCACATAAGTTTCAGCTTTCCTGGCCCAGTGGTTCTTGAGAAGATGATTTTCAAAGATTTTTCCTATATATTTCTATGTAAAACTTTGATTCCCCATTGTGGCCCCGCCCTTCCCCAGGGGGTCATTATTTGAACAATTTAGAGTCTACACTATACCAGGATGCTTTCACATAAGTTTCAGCTTTTCTGGCCCAGTGGTTCTTTAGAAGATTTTTTAATGACCCCACCCTATTTTTGTCTTTTCTTGATTATCTCCCCTTGTGAGGGGACTTGGCCCTTTATTTCAATAATTTAAATTCCCCTTCACCTAAGAATGCTTTGTACCAAGTTTGGTCAAAATTGGCCAAGTGGTTCATGAGAAGAAGTGAAAATGTGAAAAGTTTACAGACGGACGGACGGACGACGGACAAAATGTGATCAGAAAAGCTCACTTGAGCCTTCTGCTCAGGTGAGCTAAAAAACGTAAGATTATGAAAAAGCGTAATATTACAAGTTATCGTAATATAAAACTTATATTACAATTTTTCGTAATGTAGTTAAATTACGAATAAGTAAGAGACTATATTACGAGTTTTCGTAATCCAAGACAAATTCAAGCATTGCAAGAAATTGAGTGGCGGGTAGCAAAGAATGACGTAATATTGCACGAACAAGTTATGAGACGAAGGTGTGATTTTTATAGATAAAAAAGTAGGGACTTCGGGTGATATAGACCAATGCGACATGCTTACGAATATTTTTACTGGAAAATTGGTCTTATCCTTGTTCCTATAAAAGAACAATAAAAGAAATTGTCCACTCACCCATCGCTGGCGGTACTTTCTTCTTGAATTTTCATGCTTTCTGATAATATAGCAGTAGCCGTGGAATCTGATATATTACTGAGACATATTTTGCTACCCACCACTCAGTTTCTTGCAATGCTTGAATTTGTCTTGGATTACAAAACTCGTAATATAGTCTCTTAAGACAACATTACGAAAAATTGTAATATAAGTTTTATATTACAATTGCAAGAAATTGAGTGGCGGGATAATGAAGTAGCTTGTTTCTTAGTTTTTAATTGTTTACACAGACTTGTTGAAATCTGTCAGTCCTGTTTGCAAGGCCGGTAAAAATTTGTCTGGACTGATAACTTTTGAGAAAACATCAGTCCAGGTGACCGTTTGAAAAAAATCGAGCGTGAGGCTAAGGGTGAAACGTTTACTGAATTTTGTAAACGTTTAAACGAGTAGCAGTAAACGAAACGGTACCGTTTAAACGGGAGAATTTTATATGTTGAATTTTTATTGCTACTTACTCATAAAACACTAATTTTATAAACCATTCTTTCACTATAATGTAAGTATGAGTTGTCATTACTGTTTATTTGTTGGTTTTTGTGACGAAAGACGAAGGTGTGATTTATAAAAATATAATACGATAACATATTGAGGGTTCCCGAATTTTCTCTATATTCAACATTATACCGAAAAAGTGATACTTTTTATTTTCTTATCAATAAAAAGCAACAACAAAGGTTATTTATTTTAGAACATATTCTTGGAAAAATAAAATAATACATCGCTAGTTTTCACTACTCAGAAATTGGAATGAAATATGTTAGAACATATTGGTTTCTAGATAGTTTTATTTAATATTTATTTACGTTTCCGGTATCGATTATAACAAAAAAAAAATGTTTGTAACAGACACAGGGTGTGTTTTCTTTAGTAAATATGAAATAAAACAACTTGTTTTGAAAATTTCCATTTATATTAACCTTCATGTAAACATTTACTCAATTTGTAAACGTTTAAGTCAAATTGTCAATTTTTAATACCCATCGCTGGCTCGGTAAAAGTGTAAATAAATATGAACAAGTAAACATTGTAAACTCTTGAATTTTGATAGGAGGTTTACCCGTTAGTGTATTTCTGTTGTAACAACGATGAGCACTTCGTGCCCGATGAAATTTAATATAACATCGTTTATGTTCAATTTATTCATCAGATAAACACAAGAAATAAAATCATAAGTCAGGGCTCTCACACCACTTTTTGGGACTGGGGCCGGGGCCGTTCAAATTGGGAAAATTATCATCATTTTGGGAAAAGTTGGATGACCAACATTCATGACAAAATACTCAAATTTTGCTTTTCTAGAATTTTGTCATCAATTTAACTCTGGTTTTGAATAAACAGTTAAACAGTTCAAACATGGTTACGTAGGCTACTTATAAACATGATGAAAGTACATTAGCTTTGTCATAACTATCTTTGAAAGTTGATAATTGCGGTTATTTGTCTTTCTGAGTGACAGTCGCTAGTCACATAGTCCCGAATTTTCTCTATCACATGGACATCATTGCTTACCAATAGAGGCTGAACATGCACAAGCGTGGGTATGACTTTCTAGGTGTAGCTTACTAATGTTTAAATGAAATGTCTATTTTTGATACCAAAATGATGAATTTGTCGATTTTCACAAAACTCGCACTTATATTACACATTTTTTTTAGTAAAAACTCTTAACAATGCATTTAGCGCAAAGTAATTTATAATCATACATAAAACTTGTGTGTTTCACTTTCATTTGCAAGTGTGTTTTGTTTAGGGCTTTTATGCAATTAAGTTTCATGGAATTTTTTTAATTAATATTTTGCTGTGGAAATTGGGAAATTTACACCTTTCTTTTGGGAAAAAGGTACCTTTTTTGCATTTTCGGCCCCAGATAATCTTAAGTTGTTCACAGATTTTTTGTTTCAAAAATTAATCTGCTCCGTATATTGGAATGTAACTCTTTGTTGCGTTTGGCGTCCAGGTATCAGTCGTACAGTTTAACTTGAACTTGATCAAGTTCGCCTAACAGAGCGGATTTACGGTTTTAGTACACTTTTCGAACATAGATTTTCTAGTATTATGGGACGGTATTTTGTAGTTTGGTGCAATGATGGACATCAGTTTTTTAAAGCCTTTGCCTTCAACCATTTGTATTGGCAGGTAATCAAACACAACCATATCAACAATCGCGGGGCAATATCATCTGTCTCTTTTCCCGAGAATTTTTAAAAGACTTCTCGCAGAATTAACAAGGTTGTCAAATTTATTAAATCATAATAGACCTTAAACGATGTTCAGTGAAAACAAATAATTAAAGTTAATCAAAAATAAGGGTAGAAGACAGCCAAAGGTGAGAAAAGCCAGGTTACAGGTGCTTGGTCACGAAATTACTGTATAAACACTGCCACGGGCGATAACGGTCATTTAGAGGAGTAGGAAACCCTAATTACTGTATGTACAAGTGCAATGAGTATTTTAAAACAGATTGTTTAATGCATTAATAAATAAGCTAAGAAATAAAAAATAACTTTTGAGAAAACATCAGTCCAGGTGACCGTTTGAAAAAAATCGCCGTTTACACGTGTAATCGTTTCGCCCTTACGTGAGGCACATTTTATGAAGGTCATTTGATGCATTTGGCCACAAAATGCAAGTAAAGCAGAAATTAGGTATAAATATAGCTGCTTTGGGTAGGTTTCAATACATACGTAGCAATTAATAGCTACGTAGGTAGAAATAGTCTTTGGACTGGACCTGTTTAGTCACCCTCTTTCACCCTCCACACCATGTGCTAGCTGCAACCAATTTTACAAAATAACAATTATAGAACAGAAAGAACAATTTTAACTTACCCCTTTGGACATCAATTATTCACTTACATTTAGTTTGGTGTTGTTTGACTTGTTTGCAATACCGCATTGTCCTTACCTTACTCAAAAAGTAACCAGCTGGGCTGTCACCCACTGCGAGTGACAGAGTAATTGGCCCAATTGTTCAAGTTTTCTAGTAGGCCTACTTTAGCAAAAACACAATAACTGGACAAGATAACATGCTTTGCAAGTGCATAAGCTATAACAACAGTATTATCCATCAAATTTTCAAATTCTTACTCAGAGCAGGTGTCTTTTGGTTTCTTCCAACCACATGTCAATTGTTGAATATGGCGCTAACGAAGTTCATCAAGCGGATGCACTTTCTAGAAATATAGTTCTCTAAAAAACCTCATAACATCTCAATTGTTATTAATCTTTTCTGATGACAAACATAGTTGTTTTATAGCTTTTTAATTCTTTACTCTATTTAATTTTGATACGATAGTAAATACACAGCTTTGTTGTATCAGTATTACTCCGCGGCAGAGTTGTTTATCAACATTCCCGCCATATTTCAGAATAATGTCAAACAGAACCGTATGAGCGACACGTATGCCAGTGGGTCAGCGACCGCATTAAAAGTTCAGAATTACTCTATTTGACAATGGACATTACAGATATGTAAGTTGGAACATCTATTATGACGATATCACCTGTTGGAGGGTTCATACATAGACCATGAAAAAACAAGAGGCTCATGGGCCACATCGCTCACTACGGGGTGTATTACCATATATGTTGATTTAAATCAGTATCCAAACTTTTCCTACTAGTGTTGGGTGTGATCTACCTTCAGAAAGGAAGCCTTCTGCTGTTGCGTATCCAGGAATCAAGGGGGGGGGCACCAGGTTAGGGGCCCACAGAAACGCACAAAAAAAATTTATTAAATCTTATGTATACATGTATTTTGAGACCCAGGCCCCCTTCTCAATCCGCCAGTGGTCTTCAAATTTTAACTAAATTGCAATATAAAACGTGTAATATATATACCAAAATGTTCTTGATACTTAATTAATTGGACTGAAACCAAAAGCAACAGAAGCAAAGTGAATTGTAGATCAATCCCTGAATTGCAAGCATGGAAAGTCTCTTGACACCATGCAATAAGGGGACAACTCTACATTTAACACAGTTATAAATTGTATCGCTTCCTTGTAGGGAGGGCCATAATTGCTAAATAAAGTTTTATATAGGAATATATACTAAGGGAAAATATTTTTAAAATCTTGTCAAGAATTGAAATCCAAGATTGATCAGATCTAAAGGAAAGCATCCTCAGTTAGATTTTAAAGACTAGTTTTTCAAATAATGACCATTGGGGGTTGGGTAGAGCTTCAATGGGCGATCAGAGTTTAATTGACACATAAGAAATGAAAAGGAAAATCTTTTTAATTGACACATAAGAAACATAAAGGAAAATCATTTTTTTTTCAAATCAGTACATGTAATTTCAAGATTGATTGATCCATCAATCACCTGTTGGATCACATAAATGTAATTCTTAGCCTGTGGGGTTGAGCTCAAATAAATTGTATCATTAAAATACCATCAAAGTGTTCAAATTAAGGAAGATCCCTGAAGACAATAATTAACATAATAATTAAGAAGCTGTAGCATTCTGGAGCTCAAGTAGTGTAGATTTAATTGCAAGTGTGTTCAAACCATGCTCCCATATTTATTGGCGCAAACACTTAACTTTTCATTTACTTTTTCCTAGCCAAAATATTAATGCTCAAATGAGTGATGCGGCCTAATTTAAAGGCCTCTTGTTATTTTGATTCAATTACGCAAATGGCAAACTAACTATAGTCCTCGATCTGCGTCTCCATACACAAAAGTACAAATGAACTCTGGTGGAAGTTAGCACAGAATTGTTCATAACATTCAGTTTATATTGTGCCAAGACTAAGTTTGTGAAAAATTTATAATGAAAGCCAGAAATAAAAAAAATAAAAAATGTTTAATTCTGCAGAAGTTTGTTGATTAGTTTTACTTGCTAATTTTGCAGTGAATCCTCTAGCTCAACTATAAGTTTTGATTTTCTCTCCCATTTGGTGAGTATTTTCCTGTACGTATTTTCCAGCGATTTTTTTCCACCCTTTGGGAAAGGGTCCGGTACCGGTTCAATTGGGAAAAATAACATCGAAGAAAAACAAAGGAGAATTTTCTCTTAGTTATGCAAATGCAACGTATATTGCGTTTATTCCCACTTTACCTATTACTGCTTGTTTTAAAGAATAAACAACAAGTACTTATTGTTTTTTATATCAACATCCCTTGTTTTCACATTTTCATGCTTTCAATTTGTCAAAATGAATGACACTACGCTGTCTGAACCACTGGTCCCGCCAAATTACCACTTTCTCTACTTTCGATTTAAGCGGAAGTAAAGCAATTAGTCAACTTGTACAATGTTTCATTTAACAAGAAATATGATGTCATCGTAATCTTTCGGTTCACAGTTGAATTGGGAATTTTTAGACACAGAATTGGAAAAATTAACGGTTTTTCGCATTGGGAATGGTGCCGTTTATCGGTACCAGTTATATAAGGAAAAAAACACTGTTTTCTACCCCTGGTTACAGCGATTTTTTTCTACCAATTGGGAAAGGGTCCTGGCCGGTACTGGTTCAATATTGGGAAAAATAACATCGAAGAAGAACAAAAGAGAATTTTCGCTCATTAAATCAAATGATACATATTTTGGGTGTATTCCAACTTAATTACCTATCTCTCTGTGTTTTAAAGAATGAGCAGCAAGTACTTATTGTTTTTTATATCAATGTTCCATGTTTTCACATTTTCATGCTTTCATTTTGTCAAAATTTATGACATTATGCTGTCCTCACCACAGGTCCCACCAAATTACAACTTTCTCTACTTTTGATTTATGCAGGAGTGAAACAATTGGTCAACTTGTACAATGTTTCTTTTAAAAAAGAAATATGATGTCATGGTAGTTTGTTGCTTCACAGTTGCACTGGGAATTTTTAGTCACAAATTTAAAAATTAATTTGGCATTGGGAATGGTACCGTTTATCGGTACCAGTTATATAAGGAAAAAAATGCTGGGCTATAATTTATGCAAAGCCAACCTGATACAATCAATTGATCTGAATAGACCAAAATTACCTGTTGGATCACATAAATGTAATTCTCAGTGTGTGGGGTTGAGCTAAAATGAAATGTATCAGACATAGTCTATCATTAAAATACCATCAATGTTGTTCAAAGGAAGATCCAGTGATCACAAATAATAAAAGTGGGACTGTAGTTATAACAGACAGACTAGGAGGGGATTACAGTAAACCCATAGTCCCCCCCCCCCATCTTACCAGTAAGAGACTAATAAAACCAAATAACTTATTTCTCATATCCAGTTTTCATTTTATACGTATAGTAAGATGAAATATTAATTCTGGACAGCTAGTGCAATAAAATAAAGCACCAGTCTATGCATCGTCTCAAGCCACGTACGGTCCGGAGTCCACATCTAGCTCTCTCCAAAATGGGAGAGGATCGTGCATTTTGGCCGTGGTTTGTGATGATGCAGTCTAATGTGACATTGACAATTATCTTAACTAGCTTTTTACATAAACTAATGCTATATGCAGGTTGTTCAAGTCCAATATTAATATGTCATAATAAATTGTATTAGTTCTACCAGTTTAGTGTGTATTTTAGTTCATTTTATAAGTAATATTTGATGCTGCAGCTGACAACATGCAAAAGTACTCAAATTACAAATTGAAATGATAAATATGTTTGTTGATTATATAATGTAAAAATATATAGCTAGGAAATCCACTCCTTACCCAATAATGATAACTTTACTTATGATAATCATGATAACAATTAATAAATTAATTATTAAATTAATTAACAATTCATTATTTTATTAATTAAAATCAAAATTCCAGTCAATGTGTAATATACCAAATTATGGTAATTAATTAATCTGTGATATTTTATTTACTTATTGTTCTATGGTTAATCAAGCCATCTTACCAGTAAGAGACTAATAAAACCAAATAACTTATTTCTCATATCCAGTTTTCATTTTATACGTATAGTAAGATGAAATATTAATTCTGGACAGCTAGTGCAAAATCATGAAAACAAGTTCAATATTTCCAAAACAATCTAAGCCTACAATCTCTGTAAAGTAAAATGAAGTAGTTATCGGTTATTATGTTCTAAGGTAAGCTGACTGTGGATAACATATGCAATATCTTACAGAACTGGCTCTGTTTATATAGCTCTTGCTCGCATTTCAGGCTGACTTTATATGGAGTGCCTCTTCCCTCAAGCTAACATCCCACTGAGCTGAGACGGGGCTATATCATCAACATGTGGCCGACCATTCCATTAGTGCTGAGGGAGGAATAGGTTGCAAGTAAAATGGTTAAATGTTTGGGGTAAATTTGTTGAATTTTTAAAATAAACTTATTTTTGGCATCGATTTAATTCTTAAAAAAATGTACCCCTATAATTTTGGTATTATTTAGTAATTACATTTAATTTTTTTCATTGTGTAGGGTTTAGGAGAAGACCTGTTGACCCCTGTGTGTGGTAATGGATGAGGCCCCAAGTAGAAGTGAATGCTGTAACACAGGAGATGCTCCTGGCTTCTTCTTCCTAACAACACATTCCAGCAGACGATTAGTTCCTCTGGCAGCCATCTTTGTTTTCGACATCTCTAGGTAGGATCTCAAAGTTTTACGTTCACCCCTTCCCAACATTTTCAGCCTTCCAACTTTTTTTCATAAAATTTTATGCAACCCTGCTATGCATATTCTAGTGCAAAATATAGTTTGATTCTTCAATTCAGTTTATTTTTGTGCTGACTTCTCTGATCTGTCAAACCCTACCCGGTGTTTTATACATTAGAGACCCTCCCACATATATCTCCCAGTTTGCATTACCTGATATCCAACTCTTATACCAATTTTCATTCAGCATAATACACATATTCTCTCAATATTAATAATAGTTGCAACTGTAGTTTTGACAGCAGCATGTATACCAACACATAATCAAAATCTACTTTGATGTCCAATATCCTGGATCTGTTAGCAATGTTAAGTGATTATGTCAATATAATTAAGAAACCCGCAATGCACAATGTGAAAAATTCACATATTTTAGTTGATTCATTGGCAAACATATTCACAAAGAGAAAATTATCATTCAGATTAATAAGATGTAGCATACATTAGAGTCGAGTATATGACTTAAAAACTTGAGTACATACTGACTTTCACTGAGTATACAGATTTGTACTTGTGAAAAAATAGGTTTTTTAAAATAATTTACAAATAATACAAGAGTATGTAGAAGTTTTTTAAGTATAAACAAAAGTTGTATTTGGAAAAATGTTAATTCAAGTGTACATGGTTAAGAAAGACTTAGGTCACCTGAGTCAATGTGCATGGTGACCTATTGTCATTCACGATTGAATGTCATGCAACATATGTCCACCATATATACATTTTAACATTTTTTACTTCCCCAAGGAAAGTTGACTGAAAATTTTCAACCAAAATTTGATGTATAGAATACAGATACAGGCATTTGGATGAAAGAGATGAAATTATTTTTAATTTTATGATCCTTCCCACCCCTTCCTAAAGAGTTTATGAGTTAGGTTAAAACCATTCAGTCAATTTGATTTTTATGCCCCCCTTGGAAGAAGGGAGGGCATATTACTTTGCTGTTGTCTGTCGGTCGGTCTGTCTGTCGGTACACCTTCAGTTCCTGTTCATTTTCTTCACAGCGGTTGCACATATTGAAATGAAATTTGGTATTCAGATTTATAATAAGAATATCTAGGTCATGTTTAGTTTTGGATAGGATCGGGCCATTTTGACAGAGTTATGCCCCTTGGACTTGAAAAAACTCCAATCATTTGCTGTTTCTGTTCATTTTCTTTGTAGAGGTTATTGAAATGACATTCAGTATACAGATTTATCGTAAAAATATCTAGTTCAAGTTCTGTTTTGGGCATGATTGAGCCATTTTTGACAGAGTTAAGTCCCTTAGACTTAGAAAAATTCCAATTATTTTGGGGAGGGGGCATTAGTGTTTTACAAACATCTCTTGTTTAAAAAATCTTCTTAATATCTACATGTACTCTTGGACATCAAGCAGTTAGCAATCTACACATTCTTTTTGGATTGTACACTCTTGTCTATCAAAATTGTAAAATCTGTTATTTCCTATTATAGCCCATTCCATGACAGTTGGTCATCAATAAAGCACTATATCATAAAATTCCTTCTTGGTTTGTCTAATATGCAGTCTTATGATTTTAAGCTGTAGGCCCTGCACCCGAATAACAGTTTTCATTCCATTGGTTGCAGGTTCAACCTTTTGAACATGAGGAACAAAGGAAAAAAAAAATTCTCAAAATACAGATCTCAAACTTCCAGAAGTTTTTATCCCCCCTTCAAAGAAGGAAGGGCATATTGCTTTGCTGCTGTCTGTCCGTTAGTCGGTCTGTCTGTCTGTCCACCAAGTTTCAATTCACTTTCTTTGCAGAAGTTGAACATACGGAAACAAAATTTGGTATACAGATTTTTCATCTGAATATCTTAGGTCAGATTTGTTTTGGGTATGATCAAGCCATATTTGACAGAGTTATGGCCCTTAGACTTGGATAAATTCCAATTATTTGCAGTTTCTGTTCATTTCCTTCAAAATGGTTACACCTACTGAAATGAAATTTGGTATATAGATTTTTCATAAGAATGTCTAAGTCAGGTTCTGTTTTGGTAATTTTCAAGCCATTTTGACAGAGGTGTGCTTCCTGGACTTAGAAAAATTCCAATTTTTGGGGGGGCAGGGGGGCGTAAGTGTTTTCACAAATATCTCTTTGTTATGTTTCTGTAGTACAGTAAAAGTTGTTTAGTACGAAGACGGATATTGCGAATCCACAGATATAACGAAGTTATCTTAGATCCCCAGGTAATTTAATTAAACGAATTATGGATATAGCAAAGTAATTTCATAGGTCCCAGAGACTACATTCTTTTGTATTATTTTACTGTATCCATTTTTAAAGGGATATTAAACACTCATTTGCTTATACAGTAAAACACAGTTATAATGAAGTGCCAGGGATGGACAATTTTGCTTTGTTGTAATGTTATCTGTTAAGTTTACAATAGATTTGAAAGGCATGGGGAATAAACTCACTTTGCTGTAAGCATCAAATTGTTATAAGCATGTTCACTATAAGCATGTTTTACTGTACGTGCTTCATAAGCTAAAATGCATACATTATACTTATAGACATCAAAATTAGGTTTGAAATACATGTATGCAGAATTTTTTTTCTTAAACCATGTTACTGAATTCTTTACAGTATGTTTAGGATTTTTTTTTCAATCATGCTAATTTAAGGACAAGAATAGATTGGTGGAACATGATTGTGTACACAGAAATAAATACTCCTTTCCATGAGATATCAGAAATAAGCCAGCTCTCTCTCTCTCTCCTCAGATCAGAGGTGCACCAGCTAAAAATAAAACCACACATTCCAGTGGCTGGAATTTATCTTGAAAAACAATTTCTATTTCCCCCTCGATACTGTATTCCAGGCTTTTCTACGATTTGTGATTTGTGAGAGTAGGATATATTAAGTTTTTATCGATTCTTCACAAAAGGTGACTTGTTTGAAACAGGTAGGCACAATTGTCCTGTTACTGAGTAGTGAAATGTGAGTTGTTCATGTAGTATTGGTATATGGTTAACCTGTGGATTTATGTTTTTTTAAAAATTATTTTAAGTTTTTGGGTTGGAGATTTTGCCAAGCATGTGAGTTTGCTTTCAAATCTGATTGGATCAGTAAGATATTAAATATCTGGTGACCAATGTTAAAGTAAACGAACAATTTGTATCTCTTAATTTAAGGAATTCAGCATTTGTCAGATACTACTGGTCTTTTATCTGTATCAGTGTTTATGAATGTGTGAGCATAGAGAATTTTTTGTAATGAACTGGTATGTGCTTATGGAATGCAGAGAAAAAATTTCCATCAGTAGGAAAAATATGTCATGTTGAATCATATATTTTATAGAATTCACTTTAACACTCCTTAATATTGACTAAATAATTATGTACGTAGCATAAATACTTAATTTCATTGTAGAAAAATAAGACTGCATGTATATACATGTATATAAATGTCAGCTCCTTTCACTTTGATAATGAATCTGACACACAGACGCATATACATCTTCATGTTTTTTGTGCATAATAAATGCATACAGCTGCTGAAATGGAAGATTACATATATCTGATCATTAGAGCCTCTCTTACTATCATACTATGTAGTGAGACGGAGGCAATATGTGTCTGTAGATATATAGATAGTCAGTGGGGGGGATAGCCTGCCACCAGCCGGGCAGCATGTGGTTCTTGTTTAGAAATATATCACAAGTACTGGGATAAACACATTCATATGTAACACACTTCTGGCTCTGGTGGGGGGAGAGTTAGCTGCTAAGAGTTCAATTCTGTATTAATAGTTAATACATCTCAAAAACTCGGGTGAGTAGGGGAATGAGCCAAGGACATTCCTCAGTAAATATAGAAAATCTTATTTGAGTATTTATCTTAATGTTTATGATGGTTTTTCAGTGTTACTATACTGTTGCGTATTATTACAGCATTGGGTACAGGTATAGTAAATTGTTTTCTTATTTATGCATAGGTGGATATATTTTATATTCCATACAATTTGCCTTCCCATACTCTATCTGGCACAATATAATTGTCATCAGCCGAAAATGCTTGGTAAAACAAAATGTACTGTAATGACTTTTGTGTATAGATGAGGCTATGTTTATTCGTACTGGCATTATTTGAGTGAAATTTAACGAAATAACTTGTTCCTTTTTTCTTCAGGTTTTGAATTTCCACCATGTCTGACGACGAATCCCACAATCCCCCGTAAGTATACAGTCGCCATGGTTACTTTTGTTCCTAATGATAGCTTTAATCAATGTCTAACCCTTGCTCCTTATGCTAAAAAAAATACTTTTCAGGCTATTCCTTTAATTTAAATTTGTGATGTCTGTAAGCAAGCAAGACAAAAGTCAAGTAAATATACAATCCAGCAATGACATATACCGGTAAAATATTAGGCCAAGACTAAATTGTTAATTACTGTTAAGTAAATGTTTTTAACTATCTGTTTTAAGAATAATTTTGAAAATAAATCAGCAATTTTTTTCCACCCATTGGGAAAGGGTCCGGTACCGGTTCAATTGGGAAAAATAGCATCAAAGAAAATCAAAGGAGAATTTTCTCTCATTTATGCAAATGCAACGTATTTTGCGTTTATTCTTGTAAGCGTAAGCAACAAGACTTTAGTACTTATTGTTTTTTATATCAATGTCCCACGTTTTCACATTTTCATGCTTTCAATTTGTCAAAATGTATGACACTACACTGTCTAAACCACAGGTCCCGCCAAATTACGACTTTCTCTACTTTCGATTTAAGCAAAAGTGAAATAATTACTCTACTTTCGATTTAAGCAAAAGTGAAATAATTAGTCAACTTGTACAATGTTTCATTTAACAAGAAATATGATGCCGTCGAAGTCTGTTGCTTCACAGTTGAATTGGGAATTTTTAGTCACAGAATTGGGAAAAATTAACGATTTTTGAAATTGGGAACGGTGCCGTTTATCGGTACCAGTTATATAAGGGAAAAAAACGCTGTAAATACTAAAAGAAGTAATTTAGAACAAAAAGGGAGACAACCCTTAGGGAAAAACAGTTTTGGAAAAATTGACCAATACAAATGATGCTTTCACAAATGCATGCCCACCTTTTGTACCAATCAATCCTTTAGATTTTTATGACAATGTCTAATTGAATCCACTATTGAATTCCCCTGCATGATTTTTTGAACTGCTGAAATATAAGGAGACATTATTAGGGGCTTAATACTGGACCTGGTCGCTCAAAAGTTCAGTTTAGCAAACAAAGTTCTAAAAAAAAAATTGATAATTTATAGAACATATTTATATGTTGGGCCCATTTCACCAACAATGGCTTTATTAGTGGTTTTTTTTTAACAATTTCACCAAATTCCGGGAGGGGGTGTTTTGCATGGCTTATCTTGAGATGTAAGGAACTTTCAAGGTTAACACAAAGTTGTTAGCTGTATATTAGTGTTCTTATTGACTAAAACAAAAATCATGTTTTTTGCAGAGAGGAAAGTACAGATGCGTAAGTTTTTATTGTAGGATCTTTTTAAGTGTATACATGTATAAATAAAAAAAGATAAACTTACAATATTTTTATCTATGGTATCTAATGTCAACATTAATATACCTAGTATGCTTTTCCTAACATTTATACCTTTTTTTTTTTATACATATTTTCATTTGAGTTGGCTAATAATACACATATAGTAATGCTTTATTTCTGAGGTGATTGTGGCAATGAAGAATGTTCAATTAACCATCGCAAGAAATACTGAAATAACACAGTCACTTAAAAAAGCTGCGTAGATGTTGCTTTTTAAAACATAATTTTTTAACTGGTAGATCAAAAACTGCTGGGAAAAGCATGATAAATTTGGGAAGGGGATTAATCGGTTTTCCAACCAAATGACCAGTTGGTACATTTATAATTTATATATACATGTTGTGACCACTATTCAATATAGCATTGAAGAAGTAACCTTTGTAGCTGCACCTACTACTACTACCACTACTACGTGAGTCTATGGGTGTTTTTTTTTTGTGCGAGTTTGGAGCTGGTTTTGTTCAAAGAGATTTTTGACATGTAGCGAAGCTCTTAAGAAGGGGCAAGTTTACTGTCTGCGGATTCTTACTTTAGACAGCTATAGTGAATGTTTTATTTTGATGTGTAGATTTTTGTGTAAATATATAAGCTATTGCAATATTGAAGAACAATTTCAATTAACCACTGAATGCACAGGCTGAATTTATTTTTTGGTATAATGACTTGTAATGGGTAAAGTTTTACAATATATGCATAGTACATGTTTTACTAATTAGTTCTAATGTTTCCCTGATGAAAATCATTGATGTTAATGAAATTTCATTAAATTGGAAAAATGAAAAGGTTCATCTAAAGTTGGTATTAAAAAAAGTAATTTCATTTTAGCATTTCATTCAGTTCAATCTCTATTAGATAATAATTTTCAAAAATGCTTACTTCCATGGATAAATCTTAGGTCAGCCATTCTTTTCAAAGGAACAGGAACTTGCTTGCATTGAAATTTGGTTATTAAATGAAGTGTATATATGTATGAGTCTTGCAAAGCATCTTTGTTAGAAGCTTTAGCTGATACTTTGGGGTACACAAATTGAAATATATGTTTTTTGCTATGCAAATTATGAAATGTTTCAATATTTCTATAACAAGTAAACACAAGTTTATGATGTGGCATTTGATGAGTTTTATAGAAAAAATGGAATATTTGAATAAAAAGTTGATTTAAAATGATTAATTTCTTAATTAAAGGGAAGTCACTCCTAATGAGCAGACTGATCAGTAAGTTATGATTGGTGGATTTCTAGGGAGTAGACAGAGTGATGTCCCTTTAGTGTCCTATAGAAATGTGGTTTTATAGTTGTAGAATTGATGTTTACTGGCACTATTTACCTTTAATTTTAATGATGTGACATAGTTATATACTAGTAAAGAAGACATTTTAAAAAAAGATTGAAGAGGATTTTGTTGTATGAGACTAGTTCAACACTGGTAACATTTTTCTGTGCTGTGGTTTACTCATTAGAGAAATTAGGATACTCAGTATAGAAGCATGATTGAAATTTTACTCTAGTGTGCCAAAAGATTTAGGGAAATGGTTTCAACTGAATAGACCTATTGCATGATCGATAATTGATTTCTGATATTTTGAATATACATGTATTATTATGTATTTAAAGTTTTATTATTGTAAAATTTCAGAGGCTCAGAGAATGAAGCCCAAAGAGCCATGGAAGTAAGTCTGCACTTCGTATATGTTTTGTAAATTTTTAAGTTACTTGAAACAATCGATCATAAGATATACTTTCTTAAAAGAACATGTCAAGTGAATCATTTAACTTTTTTTTTTCTTGATAGACATTGAGCAGATAATTTTAAGTTACATGCTTGTTTATGATGGACGTGGATCCCTCTTCTGAAATTGTGAATCAGGGCTTAATATAATTGACCCACTGGTCTGGGACCAGTTAATTTTTACTCTGGACTTGAACATTATAAGGGGATGTACCCAAAACAAAACAAAATTTTCTAGCCCTGTGAAATTTTAAGTCTGTAGATTCGCATATAGTTTAAAGTTTTCTAAGTACCAAGACACCTTTATATTAGGAAGCAGCCAGAAGAAAGGCAGAAAAGGTGGCCCAGGAGATAGCGGAGTTTGAGGAGCAGAGGAAGGAGGAGAGAGAGAAGGAACAGCAGGAGATCCAGGCTCTCAGAGAGAAAAGAGTAAGGAGCACAAGCTTCACTAATACAGAAAACTGAATGTTTCAAACACAAAATTGTCCATTATTATATCAAAAATGTTTATACACTGTTTTATTCTTTATGTAAATCTTTTGTTTTGATTAAAATATGTTGCAGTAGATCTGATATATTGAGTAATTTGAAAAAAAAAATAGTTTTATCCGTATATTAAAAAAGAAATGATGGTTCAAGGCCATTTACCATTCCCTAAAATTCATAATTCTTATTTAATTTTCATTTTACACCTGTTCATTATTATGTGCATATTTGTCTTCAGGAACAACGTAGAAGAGAGAGAGAAGAGGAGGAAAAAAGACTGGCCGAGATGAGGATACAAGAAGAGGCCAGGAGGAAGGCCGAGGAGGTGTGTATACTGAGATAGAGGGCTGAGGAGGTGTGTATGGGAGGGGGGGGGGCAGATTGGGGGAGCAGGAGGTCCATATACAGGGAAAAGAGGGGGGAGGGAGGCCTAGAAAGTGTGTATAGGGGATGAACAGACAGGAGCAAACAGAGAAACAGGGATGGGGGGGGGGCAGGAGGAAAGCTGAGGAGATGAGTACAGAGGGAGCAGGAGAAATGCAAGAGAGGCCTGTATTCAGGGATAGGAGGGGAGACCAAGGAGGTGTATATAGGGGTAATAAAGAGATAGAGAGAACAGGAGAAATGGAATGGAGGCCCGTATGCAGGGAAGGGAGGGGGGGTTAATAGGTCTGTATACAGTAATAGTGGGGGCAAGAGGAACTCAATGAGGTCTGTATACAGAGATAGATGGACAGGACAGGTCTGTACAGAGAAAAAGGAACAAGGGGAAATGGAGAGGTCTGTAGACCTAGATAGAAGGATGAAGGCAGAGGAGGTTTGTAAAACAGGGATGGGAGTGGAGGGGGGGGGGCAAATCTTCAGAGCTGAGGACACATTGCTATGGAAAATCAAAGGAATTTAACAGGAAAATGAGGGAAGATGCAACTATGATAAGTACAAGCAAATCCAGGAATTAAGGACATGGAAGCCTTTTTCATAATAAATAGAATACATGTACATGCAGGGCAGGGAAACGAACTTTGGAAATAAGGGTACAAAAAGAGGTTATGGGAGGGGATAAACTAAGATAAGTGCAATATTATCTGGAGAGAAAATTTCAGAAAGTGTGTACAGTAGTAACACAGAGGAGATCTGTGTAGATGGTAAGGGAGCAAGAAGATTTGTAAAGATTATGGGCACAAGAAAGAGTGCTTTGTTTGGATATTTTTTGTATACTTTTGTCCCCTCTTTTCAAAGTTCATGTATCTGCAACATCTTGAAATGACATCATATTTATTTTACAGGAGGAGAAAAAGAAGAAGAAGCTAGAAGAAGAACAGAAGAGAAAAGAGGAACGCGAGAGGAAACGCCGGGAACAGGAAATCCTGATAAAGAACATGCGTAAACCTAACTTTGTCATCACTAAACATGCTGATGGAGAGCATCAGGGAGAGGTAGGAATCGGGGTCTCTTAACGAGTCATCGGGAATTAACGGACAAGGAATTCTCTAAATTTTCACAAACCATTCAATTATGCTGTCTTACTTTTAAAACTATGTCACATATTCAGTACATTCAAATTTGATTTCAAACTTAAATGTTTGTTTTAATTCCCTACATTTGATGGTTTGAAAAACTTTTATTATTCATTAGTTGTTCCTCCACTCAGTGCAAACTGCACATAGACAGTTTCATCAAGCAGTGGAGTGATCACCCTGTATTGTTAGCTTAAAGTTGTTAAAATATTTTAAATTGTCCAACTTTCACTTTCTTATAGAAGCAAGAGGTGGGTTGATTTATTAGATTTTTATATCTGATCCCCCTTTTTCAATCCTTGCACTGGAGTTTCAGCCATGTTTCCCTTCCTCAGTAACTGTTATTGGTTACTGGAGAAAATTGTAGATCATAAAAATACACATGTAGGAATGGAATTGCATGCGGACTGTCTTAAAAGACAAATTAGAAATAGAAAGAATATATTATTAGATTATGATGAAAGTTACCCCTGCAGAGTTTCTAATAATAAGTTTGTCTATTGCTCTCAAATTAACACTAAGTCTTATTAAAATTGCAGTGTTGTTTTATACAGTAAAACACAGTTACAAGGATGTCATTTAGACCTCAGATTTTGCTTCCCTTTGACCAAGTGTCCTTATATATCTATAGAGTCATAGAGAAAAGTCATCCACAGGATTCATTTAAAGTTTTATATAGCATAGTTTCCCTATAAACACTATTATAGGTACTTTATAACTGAGTTTTACTGTACATATAGATGTTTAAGATTAAATATTCCAGTTAATAATTAGAACTATTTAAACATAAACAGTGGATTTTCCAATTCATAAGGAGAATACAAATTTGATATATATGGTTCATAATGCTGGAATGTTTATCTTTATCTAGTTAGTCCTTTTTTATTATGCCCCGCCATGAATATGGCCGGGGCATATAGTGTTTGTCATGTCTGTCTTCTGCCCCGCCATGAATATGGCCGGGGCATATAGTGTTTGTCATGTCCGTCTTCCGTCCTTCCGTCACACTTTGCGTTTAGCTCTGTTCAAAGCTAAGTTTCAAAGAAACTATCCAAGATATTTTTATCAAACTTCATATGCTGATAGATATTGATGAGGGCTTTGCTGATAGATATTGATGAGGGCTATGCAACTGCATCAACATTTCTTGACCTTGACCTTTCCTTTGACCTTGACCTCACTTTTCTTAAATTAGTGTTTAGCTCAGTTTTAAACATACCATTCAAGATAGTGTTATCAAAGTTCACATGTTGATACAAACTTGCACGGATGATGCATCTACGGATGAACACTACCAGACTTGCTTCGGATGCTGGATCTGACCTACATTTTCCAGATGAGTGACAAGGTTAAAGTTTTTGGAGCAGGTCCATTCCTAAGGAACTATAAGCCCTACCTAAACCAAACTTGAATGGATGATGCATCTAAGGATGGACACTACCAGACTTGCTTCGGATGCTGGATCTGACCTATTTTCCAGATGAGTGACCAGGTTAAAGTTTTGGAGCAGGTCCATTTCCTAGGAACTATAAGCCGCAGCCAAACCAAACTTTCACAGATGATGCATCTAGGGAAGAAGACTACCAGATTTGCTTTGGATGCTGCATATGACTTACATTTTCCAGATGAGTGACCAGGTTAAAGTTTTTGGAACAGCTCCATTCCTAAGGAACTATAAGCCCTACTTGGACCAAACTTGCATGGATGATGCATCTAGAGATGGACACTACCAGACTTGCTTCGGATGCTGGATCTGACCTATATTTTCATTCCCAAGTAACTGTAAGCCCTACCTGAACCAAACTTGCATGTATGATACATCTAGGGATGGACACTGTCAGACTTGCTTCAAATGCTGGATCTGACCTATATTTTCATTCCCTAGTAACTATAAACCCCACCTGAACCAAACTCGCATGGATGATGCATCAAAGGATGGACACTACCAGACTTGCTTCGGATGCTGGATCTGACCTATATTTTTATTCCCAAGTAACTATAAGCCATACCTGATCCAAACTTGCATGGATGATGCAGCTAGGGATGGACACTACCAGACTGGCTTCGGATGCTGGATCTGACCTACATTTTTATTCCTTAGTAACTGTAAGCCCTACCTGAACCAAACTGGTCAAATTTTATACACAGACAAATTTTCCTGTTGCTTTACAAATATTTCCTCGGCGGGGCATTCATGTCCTATGGACATATTTTTAGTATTTTATTGTTTTCCCCCTCAAGATTGATTTGAAAATCCTAAAAATTCAAAATATTAGAATAATTATATCTTTCAGCTTTTGCCTTTAATGTTTTATGTTTCAATACCCATGCACATGCCTGGTAATTTTTGCTGATTAGTTTGGCATGAAAAATATATACTTTTAAAAAAGTAAAATGACTAAAATCTATATTGTAAAAACTTGTGGTTTTCTAATAACATTTGATTGATTATTATAGAGACCTGATCAAATAACAAACAATGCTTTTGATACCTTTATTGCTGATTAATTTTTTCTTCTCGTAATAACTGACATTTAATGTATATTTGTATGTATGTAGTTATTTTGCTTCTTCACTCATTTTTTAACCAAGAGAAAAACTAAGAAACTAATTCCATCTTTAGCTTCTATAGAAGAATAAATGAATAAAGCATGACTTTTGTGATTTTTCATCTAGGAGAATGAGGAGGGGGAGGTACAGAAATCTAAGGAGCAGCTGGAAGCCGAGAAGAGGGCCTTCCTGACCCAGAAGGTCAAGCCCCTCCCAGACCTCTCCGGGCTGGACGTGGAAAAACTGGCAGAACAAGCCAAGGAGCTTCACAAGGAAATCTTCCGCCTCATGAACGAAAAGTACGATGTAGAGGAGAAATTCAAGAGACAGCAGTACGACGTAAGTCCGGAAAATTACAGTGTGGTATCAAACTGAAAATAGAAAGCTTAAGAGGAAAGTCACACTATACGGTATTATACTTGAAATAGGATATACATTGTATAGCAGAAAATTAACTGAACATACAATATGGTATCATGCTACAAATGAACATCTTTGAAGAAAGTTACATTATTGCATTATACTCAAATATGCATCCATAGAAGAAAGTATTAACATTATACTGAAGAGGAAAATGATGTGTTTTACTGAAAAAGAAAATAACAATATGTAACTGTGTATACTTTAATAGGCATTTTTAGCATGAAGTCATGCTATTGTATTAGTATTATTTGAAGACAAATTGATGTGGGAGTTGTCCCCCTTACAATGTGTTATATTAATTTCTTTGAACAGATGATTGAACTTGCCGAGAGAGCACGGCAAATGAGCAAAGGGTAAGATCAATCTGATCCATTTTGTTTATTAATATAATGTACATACAGCTGATTTAAGTTTTTTGTTATTATGATATTTTTTTAATATATTTGGAAAAATGACATTTATTTTCTTATTTCCACACCTTCAGAAAAGGAAGAAAAGGAATATCATCTGCACAGGTTGATGAATCGTAAGTGTCTTTTGAAGAATGCAAAGAAAAAAAGCATAAATCTATTTTCTTAAAAATGTACAAATAAATAGAATAATTCAATAATGTAGATCAATATTGTTCATACTTAAATGATAGAATTTTAGAAGTTCCATTTCATTTTAATTTCCTTTGTTACAGCTTTGACAGATTAGCAGACAAATTTACCGGTGCCCCAGTAAGTCTGATTATTTTAACATTCATTTTAATATTCAACATTTAACATCTAATGTGGGTTAACAACCAAAATCTTAAAAGAAAATTTGACATGGTCACAATATATATGCATGAATTTACCTTAATGAATTTTTACTTTCTAATATACAGTGTATTTTGTAAACAGGATTGATTAAAACAACCAAAAAATAAAAAAACAAACAAAAAAGACAGTCCTGGATGATAAATGTTCTTTGTAAACTCACCTGGGCCAAAGGTTCTAGTGAGCCTTTTGGATCAAAATTTGTACGTTTTTGTCCCTGTCATCCTCCTTGATGTTGTAAACATCAAATATTCAAAAGATAATCTCAAAAATCCTCCTCAAGAACAAAAAAGACCTGATTTGTCAATCTATGTGAAAGCAGTCTCAATTAGTGCAGATTTTATTTTGTTCAAATCATGACTAGGTAATCATGGGGTAGGATGGGTCAACAATTAATGATAAATGTTTTACATGAAATATATTGAATTTTATTTAATCTTCTCAAGAACAGAAAAACTATGATTATTAGTCATGTCAATATGACAGCATCCTCAGATAGTAGAGATTCAATTTGTTCAAATATTGCCCCCCTAGGGCATGGCCACATCAGGAGATCAAAGTTTTTTATTGAAAAAAAATTGATGATTCGATCAGAACATCAGGATCTATATACTGTGACGCAAGTTAGCGTTGTGGCCCATGGACCTCTTATATAGAGAACCCAGATCTTGAGTTGAATAGTAATTTCATGTTGATTTTTTTTTTTTACCTCAGCCCAAGATCCAGTTGTGCAGCAAGTATGAGCGTCACACAGACCATCGGTCCTACGGACAACGATTACAATTATTTGAAGAAATCAGTAAACCCATCGAACCTTTTGTCCCCGGCCAACATAAAAAAGAGGATGAAGAAGGAGGAGAAGGGGAGGAAGACGCCGGGCAGGAGGAGGGAGGGGAAGAGTAACTCATAACCCCCCATGTATCCCGATAGCCTAGGTGTCAACAGGTAAATTACACCCCACACCTTCTCTTGTAGTGTAAATGTTAACCCCATCATGTAAGCTTCAAGCCTAGCCCACCTCCCCTAATGTAAGCTGCTAGCCTAGAACTCAACAATATCCCACCATCCCAAATTAAGCTTTTAAAACATTTTTCCTCTAAACATTCACCATCAAACATATAATTAGAAATTCACATTGTATGTAATTTTGTTTTCTTGAAAAAGAATTTTCCAACTTTATATAATATATATCTCTTTTTTTAATTGCAGATTAAGCGATTATATAAAAGAAGCATTTTAGATGGAAGAAGAGACATCTCCATGACAGCATTTCAGCTTAGAATGTTTTGGCAACCATAAGAAGAAATAGCTATGGATAATTTAACTTGATGATGAATAGCTGCCTTAATTCGTTTTTAATCTCTTCATGTCCTAGGCTTTCATTCTTAGCTTTGTAAATTTCGTTTTATTTATAAAAATATTACTTTGCATGATTGTTTCAAAGGATTTCTTTCATTTATATTTAGAAATCCTTTCAAATGATGGTAAAAGACATAAATAGTCTTGATATTGACCATTTCCCAGAAAATAGAATTGTTTTTCTTTGGGAGGAATTGTCTTTGTGGTTGGAGGTGTCATCAATAATAAATATTGTAAACAGTCACCATGGTGACAGAGACTGGGGTAAAAGGAGCATTTAACAGATTTTCTTCCACTGAAAACAGTTCAGGCAATAGATATACTATTGCTTGCGTATATATCCAAGACTATGTGTGATACGATAGTCCTATAGACGAAGTAAATAAAGTTGGCCAAATCCTATTCCACGTGTTTTCTGTCTGGATTATCTCCCTTTGAATGCATTCATCGTGTATACTTGAACCGAGGAAATTTTTCGACTGTGTCTCCAGGGACGTAGTATCCGGGGGGGCCAGGGGGGGCCTGGCCCCCCCACTCTTTTCCCCAACATAACCTTTACCATTGTAAATGTTCATTGATAGGATGGTTGGCCCCCCACTTTATAACCATAGTATAGTGTTAGCAATGATTGTGAGGAAAAAATGGAAGTGATAGTAAGTTGGCTTTGAAAAAGTTGGCCACTACCCCCCCCCCCCCCCCCCCCCCCCCCCCCCCCCCCCTACAAAATAGGATTTTGGAGTTTGGGCAACTTTTAATTTTCGTTTTTTTTTTTCTGCTTGTCATCTTTTTTTCAGGTAAGTAAAAAAAAAATTTCTCAGGTTGGCCCCCCCACTTTCAAAAACGATGCTACGTGCCTGGTCTCCTCAGTTAAGTGCTTATTAACGCGATTTATTCGACTGAATATCCAAAGGGTTTATGTTTTTTAATTGGGGGGGGGGGGGGGGGGGATTAGAGAGAGTGATTGAATTAAAAAATAAATTATTTACATTCATCTTTGTACCCAAAACAGATATAAAGGGTGCTTCTATATTGAACTTTATCCATTGAAATGCATTAATTCAAGATTGGAAAAATCACATTTTACAAAAATAAACAAAAAGAGAGATAGTTAATTGAGTTATTTGCAAAAATCCACTGAAATTTTTAGCTCACCCAAACAAATGTAAAAATAGCATGTGCTATATGATCTCGATATTCATTGGCTTAAAGGTATATTTTCTTCAAAGGCATAAATCCTCCTTGGACAAAACTTCTATATTTTATGCGTCTAATAGATGATCTGTATTTCCAGATAAAAGACCAATGTAAGGTCCATTCTAAATACTGATAAAATGTAGAAATTTTAATTTTTGGGGTGTGTAATGACATTTATATCGACCAAATATGCATATATGATGATGCGTTTTGGGATGCAAAAAAAAAACTAACTAAATAGGGGGTCCATTCCTAAGTACCTGACTTGGATGACGCATCTATAGAAAGATATTTCTAGTTGAAACACTTTGATTCAAATGATGTGAGTGACCCGTCTTAGTAACTATGTAATGAAAGACATAATGATTAACTTAAGTGTTACTTTTATTTACTATTATTTGTGGTGTATTGAAAACCACGTGATCGCTCAATGGACAAGGGAACAAAAATGAGAGTAAAAGAGGGACTTGGTTCTTGAGAAGATGATGAAAATGTGAAATTTCTTTTTGTGCGCAACCAGTTTTTCAGACCAGCAAACTACAGTTTGGGTTACCATTGGATACAAATTAGAAAAAAAAATGCGCAGCAGCAAGTGTTTTGTCCTTTCCAGTAACGCTATTTGATCTTAAAATTTTCTTGATTTCAAGCAATGAATATTCGTGCCACTGAAGTTAATTTACTCCTGTTGAAGAAATTCTTTTAAACGCCTTCACTAACTTTGGAAAGTGAAAAAGAATATATTATATTTGCTCAACTAGGGCATATATAATAGACACAAGCAGGATTTGTTTACATCAAGGGAGCAAGGAAACATAGCAATACAAAACCTAAAAAGATATGTTTGTGAAACACTGATGCCTTGTCATAATGATTATACCTATGCAATGTGAAAGCTCAAGCACCAACAACTCAAAAATTTTCGATGTGGGTCAAAGGTCAAGGTAAAAAAAAATAATTATACTTATGGAAAGGTCTTGGCACAATGAATACACAAGTATGGAAATCATTGCAAAAAAACTTTAAAACTTTGCTCATAACTTTTGATTTAGTGGAGATATGACTTTCATATTTCACATGTGTATTCCTTGTGACAAGACCTTTCTTTTTGGGTACCACCTAATTTGACCTTGATCATGGAGATTGACACACTTTAGCACAAAAATTACAAATCTGAAATTAGCCATAACTTTTGAACTGAAGATACTAGGACGTTCATACTTCATCACATTTGTATATTCTTTGTGATAGGACCTTCCATTGGATACCAACAACCTTGACCTTGGAGTTTGACCTACTTTTTAAAACTTTAACCTTGTCCATAACCTTTGAACGGATAGGGCTAAAGCTTTCATACTTCATGTAATCCTTCTGACAAGATCTTTCTTTAGAAACCAACAACTTTGCCTTTGACTCTGAAGTTTGAACTACCTTTCAAAAATTATCCTTGCATGGCCATAACTTTTGAATAGGTGGTGCTAGAGCTTTTGTATTTCACAATTGTGTTTCTTGTGAGAAGACCTTACTTTGGGTACTAACATACTTGATTTGCATTTGAGAAAAGTTAAATCTTCGCTATCTTGCCATACGGGGGCATCAGTGTTTCATAAACACACCTTGTTTTGTTTTTGTTTTTGTTTTTTTTTGTTTTGTTTTTTTTTTTTTTTTTACAGACAGTTGGACAAGACAAAAACTGTGTACCCCCGAATCTTCAAATGCAGGGACAAAAACTAGATAATATGACATCGTTAACGAATATTTTTATTATTTCCCTTACACATAGAAGCTATACGAGGGGTGATCAAAAAGTTCGCGAACTATCTCTTTGTCGTATTCGAGCGACGGATGGCTGTAACGTTAAAAGTATATCTTGAAAATTCCTTTGCAGAAGCAAATAATAATTCGTACGCAGTTTATGAAAACAAAAGACTTGCCAGAAGTTTTGTCATTAATCGGATTGATTGTTTTAGTGAAGGCAGGGAGATGTTTAAAAATGATGTATGTTCTGTTTCCCAGTGCATGAAAGCAAGCTGGGGAAAAGATTTGTCCTTTGTTAAGCAATTTGATATGAAAGATCGCCAACCTACATATAGAAATATAGTTGAATATCTTTACAATAATATAATTATTAAATCCCTAAAATATCGTTTACTTTAGACTTTAAACATATCAGATATTATAAAAAGAAGGCACCCATACTTTATCCACATTAAATAAACGACGCTCCAAAGACAGAGGACTTGGGTTTTGATGGTCACCATGCTCATTCTGGAAAAGGATATCATTATCCATCCATACTATTGCCGAGATTTGGCCATTTCTGACAAATGGACTGTTTTTGTTATAAAAAAATATCTTGCATGGTAATAAATATAAGCTAGAGTCGGAAAAATCTTTGGGCTTCTGTGACGAGCCTGTCAAGTGACAGCGTGATCCGTGCATGGGCAGAACGGTTGCAGATGCGCGTTAAAATCGGAGAGGACCGCTTTGTAAAGTTTTCAACGCTGAAACCTATATCATTTCCATTTTGGAAGTTAGTTCAATTAGTTCCCGAACAGCATTCCTCCTCGTAACTAAACTAAATAATGTATGTATAGAATTAAGAAAATAAATACATATACATGTAAATAAGTAAAATTAAACACGTGTAAATAAATAATAATAAGGTTGCTAATCTTCGATTACGTGAGCATTAAATTCCTTATGAGGTCAAGTACAGTATTTTGGATTTTTAACTTCTCACAGTCAAATCAAGAATACACAAACTCTATTATTGAAGGGTTAACCCCACAATACAAGAGTAACCCCAGAATGCTGGAAAAAAGCTCATCTTACAGTGCAACCTCTGGTTTATTTGTACGCTCTAGAATTTTTCAATCATATGGAGATGCCACACTTGCGGAGAGCTGCAAATTTTGTCCTATACTTGGCACTCAAGGTCATTGAACAGGGAGGGATCTGTTTCGTGTCAGAAGGTTCGAATCCCACTGTGGGACGTGAAGACTGGTCCTTGGGATGAGACCGTATAAACCGAGGTCCCGTGTCGCAGTAGGTGCTGGCACGAAAACGTTTACCAAACTTGAACGCATGGAACTACGGCTTTCATACTTGTGCATCTTTTGTGACAAAGCCATCCGTTGGGTACGAACACTTTCGACCCTTTTAATGTGATTTTCTTGTGACAAGATCTTCCCTTGGACATGTTTAATTTTGATCTTTGGACCTTCACCTTGGAGTTTTATTATTATCTACTATAAAAACTTTAACATTGCCCATAACTTCTGAAAGGTTTGTGCTACGATTTTTTCTTTCAATTAAGTTTTCCCTGCGACAATAATTTTCTATAGATGTCACTATTTTTCATCTCTTGACCTTGTTTTTTGTATCGCATTTGAGAAACTTCAAGTATTTCCATGAGCTACTATACAAGGGCATCAAAGTTACAAATATACAGTTTTTGCCTTGTCCTTCCGTCTGTCCAGCTGTCTGTCTGTCCGCAAAAAACTTTAACCTTGTGCATAGTTTTTGATTGCTAGAAGCTATGACTTCGATCTTTCACATTTGTATTTCTTGTGACCTATCTTTGGGTACACAAAAAAGTTGCCCGTGTGGCGCAGAATTTAGAGCGTCTGCTCTAGTGTCACGAGGTAAGAAGTTGATCCTTACGTCGCGGGTTCGAATCCCACTGTGGAAAGTGGAGACCATCCTTCGGATGAGACCGTATAAACCGAGGCCCGTGTCACGGTATTAGGTGCTGGCACGAAAAAGATCCCTCCATGCTCAATGGCCCTAAGTGCCTAGTATAGGACAAAAATTTGTAGCTCTCCCTCGGCAAGTGGTGGCGTCTCCATATGAGTGAAAAATCTCGAGAGGGACGT